AGATGCCACCACCACACTTCCACGTAAAAAGCAGACTCACACCCACACAGAAGATGAGACACGACCACAGACCAGAAGCCGCACTGCAGCTGCATCACTACCCACTTCAAACCCCTCTGAGCCATACATGAAGCGAACTGACCCCCACCATGAAGATGCAGCACGACCACGAACTCGAAGCCAAACAGCAAGATCACAGCTCACCAGCTCAAATCCCCCAGTAACTAAGACCAACCTGAGCACAACCAAGCCCCCACCTGAACAGAACACACCTCCAGCCAATCAGAACATGGCCAACCCCCCAACCAATCAGAACACAGCCAAAACCCCAACCAATGAGAACACACCCCCACCCAATCAGAACACAGCCAAGCCCCCACCCAATCAAGTCACACCCCCACTAGCAGTCAAAAGGAAGAAGCAGCTGCAAGCTCACATCACTCTGAGAAGCACAGAGTTGAAGACAGAAGCCTGAAGATGATGAATGAGACTTCATCAAAACGTTGCCTAGATACTTCCAATCTTACGCGGGAGAAAACCCGAATAACCAAAGATCCATATACACACACACACACACACACACACACACATATACATACATATACAAATACATATACATATGTAGGTCTAGATGTGTTCAGGTCTTTTACTGTGTAAGATCGTAAGAAAAGACCCAAACACACCTAGACCTACATACCTGTACCTGTGAAAATCTATTATATATATATATATATATATATAGTTATAGTTAGTTATAGTTATACATAGTTATACAATCCTAAAATATTTCCCAGCAAGTTTTAGATGAAATACCCATATACATTCCCATGTGGTATCCCCCTTATAGATCCTTAACCCTTATCTCTAAATTTTTCAGCTTTATTATTTCTTTTAATTTTAGCCAGCTTTCCCCTTTCTAAGTTTCCCCGGTCTGTCTTCTTTTTTCCTTCTGGTATTATTTTTATTCCCCTCTGCCTGTCAGCCGTGTTTTCCCCCACCCTTTCCAGTTCTCTTTTTTGGGGTTTCTTCTTATATAATTCCTTCTTCTTCTTAATCTTGGGAGCCTTATCTCTTTTATTTGTTGTCTCTGGTGTCAATGTCTCTATTTTAAATCCTTTTATATCCTTTGGCAATGGTCCTTGTTCTCCATATTCATCTGGGCTGTTGTTTCCCTCTTCCGACTCATCATTTCTGAGCTTTCTTTGTTCTTCTGCAAGCTGCAACACCATTACTTTACTAATCATTGTATCCAGCAATTTCATTCTTTCTTTTAACATACCTCTCACAGTTTTCAGCTCCAACTTAAATTCTTTACTTATTTCTTCAATTTCTTTATTAAAGATCAAGTTTTTCTATTATAGTCCTTGCCAAAAGTTTGTTTCTCACACTTTCTCTTTCTTCTGTTTTCTTGTCATAGTCAACCTCCAGCAGTCCCAAAATATTGTATTCCTTTATATTTTACTATAGTCCCCTCTTTAAAAAAAAACTTCCGGGGTTTTTGTTGTATTAATAATCCTTTATTCCATTTCTTCTTTCTTTAAAATATTTATGCGACCAGTAATTTTCCATAAAAACATAAAAGAGGAAAATCTTTAACCATTAGGCGGTGCTCTATATCACTTTCTTTTCAAAGTTTTTTTTAATTTTCTTTTCCGTAGTATTAATGTTAATTTTTATCCATTCCAAATAAGTCCAGCATTTTCTCCAATGCCTAATTAATGTCCAATTCTGTATATTAGTTCAAATTTAATCTGATTTCATATAATTATTTTATTTCCAGTTTTTCCTTTACCTTCCTCTTATTCTCCGTTCGCCGCTACGATTCTTCCAAGCGAGGACTCTTTCTTTCCGCTTTTCGGGGTTTTCAAAAAAAATATTCAAAGTCTTTTATCCAGTTACACGCCGCTCACCACTTCCACTCTCCAGCACAAACTTAGGTCCCAGCAGCTTCCCATCTTCAGGGCAGCCATTAAACTACCGCTTCTCCTTGTCTTCTAGCGGAGTTTACCAAGCCAGGGAGATGCGGCTCCCCTCAACCCAGCTGGCAGTCTCCCCCTCTTCCCCCACCCCTACAAGGTGGGTCAGATGGTTCTGGTCCCTCGGGGACCCGTCCAACAGGGCAAGCACGGATCAAAGCCACGCACGATCGCAGTGTCTGGTCCATCTTCAACGGAAATGCCACCAGAAGTCCACAATAATCTTTTCATAGTACATGCATTTGGGCATCTTAGTCATTTGTTTCCTAGAAAATCCCAAGTTGCTCATGAAGCTTAAAAAATCTCTAGAAAGGTGGTAAGAGATGATGTTCTGAAAGTAAGATGAGAATTAATTATTCATTAATTAAGAACCTTGGCAAAGCCAGCATGAAAGATTGCCACCTTGCTGTTGTTTTAGTTTTTTATGCTTCTTTACTTAAACATAGTCTCACTAGAATTTCAGAAACAAATGCATCCAAATTGTTTGAAATAATGCCAACTGTAAATAACAAGGGGGGAAATGGTAAATCAGGAGCTGTCCTTAAAATATTCAAAAAGAAATATTTCATCCCAGAACTTGGATAATTCAGAACTCAGAAATGTAATGTTCTGCTAATTATGTTGTTTTTATTTTTAAAAAAACAGTGATAGTTGCCCTGATTTCTTTGCAGATTCATATTAAGTGTTTAATTTGAGGAGATAGCTGGATGTTGGTGTAAAAAGTCTTATGCTGGAAAAGGAAGGAAGACTATGTCTTTAGACCAAGTTTTAAATGTATAATGCTGTACTTAAAAATAAGATTGTTTAAAAGAGATGAAAGAACTCACAATATATTCTTTAATCCTTAGGAAAAATCCCTTCCTGGTGTAGTAATGGCCCTTGTATACAATGTATTTGATATGCTTTATCAGCTTGCTAACCTGGAAGAGCCAAGGTAAGTTAAGCATTGTTAATGTAGTATGGAAATGCTGTGGCTGCAGAGTTTAAAGAGATATATTCTTTGAAAACGTGCAAAAACTCACAGACTGTCCTCCAGGAGAAACCTAAATGCATGATGTATTTTTTTAAAATTCTTCAGGATTACTTTGAGAGTTCGGAGGCTTCTTTTATTGATTCCTACTGATCCAGCTATTCAGGAAGCTCTTGATCAATTAGATTCACTTGGACGAAAGGTACCAATTGCCAACCAGAATGATAAAAACTAATAATAATCAAGTTTTACTACTTACTTTTCATACTGAAATTAATGAAAAGAGAACTAGAATGATATTAATTGACTGTAATGAGTTAGCTGAAATAAGTTGAAGCGATGCAACCTATTAGTTCTTATGGGATAAAATGTAAGTTATCACTGGCTACATTAAAATGATTTATAATAGTTTGCATAAAATGGAATATTGATTTTGCAAAGTGGGTATTCCCTATTTGCTCAATATGAGTACTTCATTTCTCGAGATTCATAAAGTGCGTCCAATGTATTTACTACCACTGGAACTGGAAAATAGTGCAGTGTTGGCATAGCTGTGCATTAGCTGGCAGATCTCCCCTAAAACTATAGCAGAATTTATTATCTTTAATGTATGTCTGTCTAAGTTATAGGCTCATTTAATATAATCTTAATACTCCTGGCTGAACTGCCTTCATAAGCCAGCAGCCAACAGGCACCGAATCCTAAATATATTCCATATACAGTTTAATCTAAGATTAATCTTAGGCAAAGATTACTTTGGGGGTGGGAAGCAGATTACAGGATAGTTTATTTATACATAATGAGTTTGGGGGCTCTTAAAAAGCAATAAATTTTGTTTAAAATGTAATGAGTGTTTTTGCAACTTCGTTAGGGTTTATAAGTGCTGCATGTAAGATTGTTTTAAACACTGAGAGTTATTTACAATAATTTCAAAGACCATGTAAGAATACGCTTCTACTCATTTTTTTCTGTGCTTCTTTTTCTCTTAGAAAACACTTCTCTCTGAAACAAATGCTCAGTCTTCAAAATCTCCTTCTCTGTCTGCAAAACACCAACACCAGCCTAGTGCGGCTTCAATACTTGAAAGTCTTTTCAGATCTTTTGCTCCAGGAATGTCTACCTTTAGAGTGCTCTATAATCTTGAGGTAAGAATGAAATTGTGGCTAGAGAAAGGTCAAACTCAGACTTATAACACATGTTTTGCCTAGTTGTACAGTTCCCATTATCTTCGGTTTTCTGTCTTTTTAAAAAAAAAACTATGGGAAACTGTCAGTCAATAGAAAAGGTACTAGGTTAACTAGAGCAATGTTTACTTGCTAGGAAACTTCTTAATACCATAAAATAATACTTTTATTCAATGCTTGCTATGATCACTATAGCAAAATTTGGTAGATTTCCAATTATTCTTATTATTTATAGTAATTAAGGTATTTGTAGTACGTCTGGTTACTGTAATGCAGTATAGATCAATCAATTTTAAAATAAAACTTTTCATAAACCAGGAGTAAACAACATAATCTAACTTAGTCCACTCCTTTGAACTATAATTTGTACCATCCTTATCTCTGGTCCGGCTGCCTAAAAATGAATAAGAATGTAAGTCCAGCATTTAAAAAAAGCACCAATTTCCCTATTTTATATTAGTGCCATGTTTTTGGTTTAGATTATCTTTTTTTACATTCCCCTCGAGAGATTCTGCAAGCAAATAATTCTTTATTGTTTGCCTTGTATTGATGATACATAATTGCTCCTTGAAATGGGTGTTTGGTACTGAATTAAACTTAACACATTAAAAGCTTTGTTAATGTTCAAGAAGCTACATTATTACTTCTATTGATTCCCTTCCTGCTCACCATTGTAACCGGTGAGTGGGAAGTGGATCAAAAGGACCCTTTGAATTCAGATTTTTTTTAAATTGCATAATATTCTGAATAGTATTCAACAGTAGATATTGCTGCCTATTGCCAAGTAGGAAATCATGCAAACTATTTGGTGAGGTGGGTTTAATTGCCTGTTTTTGAAATTATGAATATTTTTAGGTATTGAGTTCCAAGCTAATGCCTACAGCAGATGATGAAATGGCAAGAAATTGTGCCAAATCGTTTTGTGAAAACTTCCTTAGAGCAGGAGGCTTGAGGTTGGTTTTTAAATATTTCAATCAGCTGAAGAGTTACCTAAGGTCAAACTGTCGAATGTTTACAAGTCAGTTGAAATTAAATGTTGTAACTTAATTTTTGGGCAACTGTTCTGAATATTATAGGAAGATAAGTTACTTTGTCTTACTAATTCATTTGTTTATATACAATTCTTACTTTCTAAGTAGATTTCAAATCTACATACATGGTAGGGGTCAATTGTACGGAAAGTATTTGTCTTCTCTTTTCACTTATAGGTCTTTTGTAAATAAGTGTCTATAGGGGTACCAACTATAACTGACTCTCAGTCTTTAATTTGGTCCTAACCTCTGCATAACTATTATGAGGCTGATTTCAGAAAATAAGTCCCATTACGAGAAAAAAAATGAAGCTGTTATTTAAAGAATTGTGTGATAAATGGTACCTGTTTTCCAAAAAATAGTTTTGCTGAAATTTGAAGTTATCACAAGTGTCAAGGTCATTAAGGAAACCATGCTAACATTGAACATATTCCTGTATATATTTGGTTAGTTGCCCAGTATTGTGGCTTGTAAAACTATAAGGATTAGGCAGGGAAGATGATGAGGATCCTCAATCATCCAGGTAGAGTTATCTAGAAATTGAGTCCTGCAACTGGACTCCATTTCTTCTTGGTTTGAAATATTTCACTGCTTATCCAAATAGACTGAAAAAACTACTTGGATAAACAGCGAAACGTTTCAAACCAAAAAGAAAAGTCGAGTTGCCATGACTCAACTTTCAGACATTAGACAGAGATGTTCCAGAAATGTTAACTACTGTATCTCATATACTGCATAACAACTGAAGTACAGTGAATACATTCATTGTTCAGGGAAAGGAGAGGAAGGAAGGAGTATTACTTTGTGTATACCAATAAGTAGAGTTTTATATCATTGGAAGTAGAACATTTGGGACAGTAACATAAAATTAATTCTGCCAAGTATTATAGTGATCACATGAATCATTTAGCAGACTTTTGTTTGTAAGAATTGGTGTGATTTTTCATGCAGTTCAACAAGCACAGTTCAGTTTTGATACTTTGTTGTGAAAATAATCTGTCTCATCACTAGTTTTCTACACATTTAATTTTATTACTTAAAGAAAGCTAATGGTTTTGTTTTCTAGTTTGGTAGTGAATGTCATGCAGAGAGATTCCATCCCTTCAGAAGTGGACTATGAAACCAGACAGGGAGTATATTCTATCTGTTTGCAGCTAGCAAGGTATGTGCTTGATTTGCTCAGAAATTTGTAATATACTGAATAGTTTGATCTTAATGTAGTCAGTGCTCTTCATAGTTCAGACAGCACATTTTTTGTGTTTAGGTTTTTGCTTGTTGGACAAACAATGCCAACTTTATTAGATGAAGATGTGGCTAAATATGGAGTGGAAACACTTTCTTCACGCCCTTTCCGTAATGTGACTCGGCAAAGTACCAGGCAGATGTCCATTTGTGGAACTCCAGAGAAGTCTTCATATCGGCAACTATCTGTTTCAGACAGGTCCTCCATTAGAGTAGAGGAGATAATTCCTGCTGCACGAGTCGCAATACAAGTAAGTAATACCAACAGCTCTACTAAAATAAAAGGTTACATAATTTTTGTGTAGAATGTTAATAGACTGGTCCCAACAACAGTCCTCTTGTGATTACCCGAAATGTCACCTTGCCTTTTTTATTTCAAGCAAGAAAGAATTTCCTTTTTTTTTACAGACAATGGATGCCAGTGACTTCACATCTACAGTCGCTTGTTTCATGCGACTCTCATGGGCAGCGGCTGCAGGACGCCTTGATCTGGTGGGAAGCAGCCAGCCAATAAAAGAAAGCAACACCTTGTTTCCTGTTGGGATTCGTAATCGGCTTAGCAGCTCAGGTACTGCATTCACTTAATATAATTGAAAAACCAGAGAGTTTGTTCTCCATAAGGTATTTGACTCTACCATTAACTAATTCAGTCCAAACCTGAGAAATGTAAGACTGAAAAGGAAGATGCTTTTACATGATCTTCTTTTCAATCTATTGCAGGAAGCAATTGCAGTTCAGGAAGTGAAGGGGAACCAACCACTCTACATGCTGGAATCTGTGTAAGGCAGCATTCAGTATCCACCAAAGATGCACTGATTGCTGGAGAGGCTTTGTCTCTCTTGGTTACATGTCTACAACTTCGTAGCCAACAACTAGGTAAGCTTGTGGGAATCTGTTACACTGTTATATTTAATGTCACTTCCATTAATAATTGTGCTACATCAAGTGAGTCCTATTATATTGTGAAGATTCAATCCAAACTTCCCAATTGTTGCTTTCATCCTTTCCTTGTTTCTATTAATGCTTGCATTTTGCTGTAAGATCATGTACTTGCTCAGGGTCTTGGGAATTGGTCAGAACATAACTTATATGATATAAATGCTATATACAGGTAAGTCCTCGACTTATGACCACAATTGAGCCCCAAATTTCTGTTGCTAAGTGAGACAGTTGTTAAGTGAGCTTTGTCCCATTTTACAACCTTCCTTACCAAGTTGTTAAGGGAATCACTGAGGCTGTTAAGTTAGTATAACAGTTGTTAAGTGAATCTGGCTTCCCCATTTACTTTGTCAGAAGGTTGCAAAGGATAAATACATGACATTGGGACACGGCAACTGTCATAAATACATGCCAGTTGCCAACCACCCAAATTTTGATCCTGTAACCAAGGGGATGCTGCAGCAATCATACATGTGAAAAACAATCATAAGTCACTTTTTTCAATGCCATTACAACTACAAATGGTCACTAAACAAATGGTTGTGAGTCAAGGACCATCTGTGTGCATATTTTCTGAAATGACATATTAATGCTAATAGTATAAAATTATGCAACGTATTTCAATAAAACACTTTGAATGTGTTTTATCTTAGGCTCTTTCTACAATCTCCCTTGTGTTGCTGATTTTATCATAGACGTACTGCTGGGTTCACCAAGTGCTGAGGTGAGTAGTTTGTGTTTCTGTTTCAATTTTTTTTTTTCAGAACATTGGCAACATAAACCTTTTACATGGAAAGATCTGTATAAGGGACAAGTGATAAATATTTTACTACTGACATAAGCTGCTTTACACGATTGATACATGCTGCATATAACTCCTAGGATAAGACAGCTGCACTTGAACGAGGACACACATACATTACATTATTTTAAATGTTATTAATGCATGTATACAAGTTTAAAATCAAAAATATATTTGCTTCATGCAGAATGCAACTTGTCAGCATTTCTTGTATAGAAAAGCTTATCCAGTTAGATATGTATTTAATCTTAGTTCTATTTAATTTTATTGTTAGCATGGTAGTATAGCTTTTTTTTAAAAAAAAAAAAAGATATCAATTGATTTCTGGTTTGTAGACCATTAGCAAGGGAGACTGTAATGATTGGTGGTAGAACTGCCAATCAAAAATTTTTGAAACCAAAAAAGGAGCTTAGTGGGGGTAGCATTACAAAAAGGTAGTACAGTAAAAGAAAAGAACCATAAAAGGCATTTCAGATGAATCCATGCTAAAAAGCTTAGTTTAATGTGAAGTGAGCAAAATGTGAAACTGGTTTTCCAAATTCCTAAAGCACTTCTGTTTCAAAAGGTTTGTGACCAGGTATTTGCTTTTCTTTTTTCCAGATTCGTCGTGTTGCCTGTGATCAATTATATACCCTTAGTCAGACAGATACATTGACTCATCCTGAGGTTCAGAAACCCAACCAATTTCTCTTGAGTGTCATTCTTACAGCACAGCTGCCCCTTTGGTCACCTACCAGCATTATGAGAGGAATCAACCAGAGGTAAGCTGGAGACATGAGTTAAACAAAGTTCAACATAAGCATTTGTCTGAAGTGTATATTTAAATGAAAATAACTCGGCCAGAGAAGCAAAATACCTAAGTGCTAGAAATGAACTGAATGCATTCAATCTCCTGTGGAAATGATGCTGTCATATAGAAATTGTTGGGCCTTATACTTATTTCTTCATGTAAGATCTTTTTAAATGGACAGTTGAAGAACGTAATTTGTGATAGCCTTTTGCCAAGTTAATATATTCTTAACTATGTGTATATAATATGCACAAACAAAATAGGTCAAGCCAATAATTATGAATTGGATTCCTTCCCTTTATTCATTGTTGTGATGTTCCATAACACAGGTTTCTAAATAGCTTCCATTTAGTATAGCAAAATAAAATAAGGTGTTAAATCTTGAAGTCAAAACAATATCAGCAAAAAATAACTGTAAAGGGAAACAGACAGAAGACAGACTTTAAACTGGTTTCGCATTTGGGGAATATTATCTACCAAGAAAGGGGTGCTGTGGAAGGATTGTTGAACAGCTAGACCATTATCCTTTGATATAATAGAATCACTGAATGAGTGGTTGTTAAGTAAAAACTATCTGTATAAGTTAAGTTCTCCGAGAAAAAAAGGAGACCTTGTTTCAGGTCCACCTTTACCTGTAAAAAGTCACTAGGTAACTTTAAGATAATTATCTCTCAGCCCAAATTATCCATGGTTTAATATAGAAGAAATGAAACATGGAAGTACTATTATGCTCTCCCCCTCCACACCAAGGTCATGAGAAAAGATAGGGTGGTATGGTGGATAAATGGATTTCAGTCCTTTAACTGTTCAGTATCCTCCTCTACTGTTGAAAGAATCAAATTTAACATTTCCTGTGGGACTGCTGATATGTTGGCTAATTTAGTATTTATCAATATAATCTTAGCTGATGAATGGATTTATTGAAAATCCCAGGACAGATTTCTGCCAAAACAATCCTTTCGAGCCAAGTCTTCAGTGCCAAGTCTGAGATCATTTAATTACTTCAAGAGGGAGATGATAAGTTGTAGTAACACATAGCAGCATCTCAAGTTGGAGTAACACATAGCAGCATCTCCAGTTGTCCTAAATTGGAACATTGCTTTGTAAGCCAGTCTCTACATTTCAGTCTTTTTAAAATTATGGTTACATTTTTAGTTTAAAAGTGTCATTTTGTTGAACATCCAGGAATAGCTTTAAAAAGCATTAAAACAAGTAGCAAATCCTAGGGTGGTTTTAAATGAAGATTTTAAGCTGTTGTATTTTTGTAAACACAATATAGGTCAATTTTAAGTTCCTAGTTACAAAAATTACAAGAAAAATGCAACTTTTATTTTTTTAATATAAAACATGCATGTCTAGATCCATTCACTCAAAGTAAAATGTTTTATGAGAAAGCAATATATGTATAAGTAAAGATTTCTACAAATTATGTCATATGCTTATAAGAATCTTAATATTAATTGCTTGAATTCATTTTTAGACACTTGTCCCAATGTACAGAGTACTTTGATCTTAGATGCCAATTATTGGACGATCTTACATGTAAGTAGTAGAAACTAAAACAGCTTTAAATAGCAAAACAAAACGTTCTTTATCCAAAAGATAGAATTAGAATTGTGATAGGTATAAAACATTTATTCTGAAAAAGCTAACTGAGATTATTTTATTCTTACAAGTTTTCTTTGTGAACTTTGTCCTAAACTCTCTGTCATTTAATTCAAAATCCAAGCAGACCAAGCAGAAGAATAGCAGTATCTGCTAATGCCACTTTTAAGGCTAAGGAAATAAACTCTTCTATCGATAAAAATAACATCTTTCTAGAGCTTTAATAAGTAGCCAGAATAATTCTGAGATTCTTTAAACTAACGATACAGAAGCTATTTAAAACTATATTTAGTTATATAAACTATATCAGTAAATGGAAAAACTATACCTTTTCAATAACTATTTCTTAAAAGGTTTTTAAGACGTGAAATTATTGTAATAATGTAAATTGTCATATTTGATTCTGGTAACAGGACCACATTCAAAATAAAAGCTCTCAGTCATGTCATTTTTAAGGAGTGGAAGTAGGTTAATTTTTAAACTAAAAATGCTTGTTTTATGTTACATGCCTTAAATTAGCATTAGTGTTGATTTCAATTATGTTTCTCTTTGGACTATTTGAATATAGTGGCATGCTTACTATTTTCCTTTTCCCCCTTCCTTTGTTTGGTTTTTATCACATAGCTTCAGAAATGGAACAATTAAAAATTAGTCCAGCTATCATGTTGGAGGATGAAATCACTTGGTTGGATAATTTTGAACCTACTCGTGCAGCTGAGTGTGAAACTAGTGAAGCTGACAATGTGTTATTGGCAGGACATTTAAGACTTATTAAGACTCTTCTCTCACTTTGTGGAGCAGAAAAGGAAATGTTAGGTAACTATTACTTTCTACAATTCATATTTTAATTTCATTGTAATTCGCAATCATTTACTTTTTTGCAAAATTGAATGTAAATACAACTTTGGTTAAAAAATAAGACATTCTGCTACTATCAGTATCACCTTTGTCTTTTGGAAAATAATCTTATTATGCAGAAGCTTGCAGGTAAATATTTAAAAAACAACAGAGTGCTATTGTATGGGAATTTTATTTTTTCAGCACAGTGTATAAAATGATACGATCAGTACAGTGCACTAAATCAAATACAAAGAAGTTTATTTCTATTGTTATTTCTGTGTTTATATCTGTGTTTGTGTCTGTATGTATGTAATATAGATACATAAAGATATAAACACAATAAATGTTTTGTAGGAAATCTGTGCAAATGAGATTAAAATATTATTTCCAGGATAGATACCTAGAGAACAAAGGGGTGGTCTTTAGAATAGCATTCCAAGTCCCGCTAGAAAAATATCAAAGTTTCTCCTTCAAAGTTAGTGGAAGATTTCTGACAGAGGCCTCCCCTGCATATTTCCTGCCTCTGAACATTTGAAGAGCCCCCCCATCCCACAAGATAGATAAGGAATCTTATGTATTCCTTTGCTATCTTAAAATGCTGGCAAAAGTTTTACATATGATCAAGAGCTAGTACTATACCTGTTTGGATGGATGGGTGGTTGGATTGAAATTCAAACTTTGAAAGTGCTCAACAGGTTTTCTAACTTTAAAGGAACATTTTAATATGATATAGCATAAATACAAAAACTCCTCAAATTTCAACTGTTTTTTAGTGACCATTTGACGATGCAACATCACTGAAAAAAGTGATGTGTGACCATTTTCACACTTGCAGCATCCCTCTGGTTATGTGATCAAAATTCAGATGCTTGGCAACTGATTCATATTTACAGCAGTTGCAGTGTCCCAGAATCATGTGATCCTCTTTTGTGACTTTCTGACAAGTGAAGTTAATGGAGAAGCCAGATTTGAACCTGAAAACAGTATGAGAAATACATGTTCTTTGATCACCTGTGGATCTAGCAACATACCAGTCTGTTCTATAAATGCTTTCTGCAAACATGTTAATGCTTAGCTGGTAATAATACTTTTGCTTTTTACATAGGTTCATCTTTGATCAAACCATTATTAGATGACTTTCTCTTCCGAGCATCTAGGATTATCCTGAATAGTCATTCTTCCGTTGGCAGCATTGCTGTTTCTCAACAGGATTTTCACCCAAAGTAAAGCATACATTAGTGTATTGGTGTAGTAAAGAATAATGTATAGGGGATGGGGTGTATTATGTTAGTTGTTCAATCAACTCTGTCCATGTGTAAATCAAAATGGGGCCTTCTCATTTTTAAATGTCTGCATTTCCTATCATTCACTCTGTTATCTTCTTTCTGAAATTAAATAACTAAACTAAATGTCCTCAAGAAGGTTACTAAGGAGTTTCATGGTATCATCATTATAAATCAATCCTAGGTCATTTATTAATATTTACCTACCTTAACAAATACCTTTGCTGAATGAAGGTAAGCTGGTTGTCAGAAGCGAGAGCTCTCTTAGCTATGATAGCCTGCTTTTGCCTCTGCCATTCTTTGGGAAACAAGCAAAAATATTCTACAGTTTATGTAGAGAGAATGTGGAATGGATGTTAAATTTAATTGTGCTTTTACTTTTTTAATTATCTTGTTCTTATAATGTAATCCACCTAAAAATATTTAGGATTGAATAAATTAAAAATATGCTAAATAGTATTTTCTGGATGTGTAGAGAAATAACCTTTAAAGATTTGTTTTATTCCACATTGTCAATTTTATATCACTTTGTTTATCCAAATCTGCTATTTCTAAATAGTAATTTATTTTACTCCAATTTGATGATTTGTAATTATCATGTATATTTCTAGATTTCTTACAGCATAAAGTACAGCATCCCTAGCACCTTGGAAACTGTTAATAGGGTACTGTTTTTGACATCTTGATAATTTCTATCAAGTTTAATTAAGACAAAAAACTTAAGCAAGTTCATGCTGAAAAAAGGCTACCAAGTCATCGATTAATATTATTAATGTTGGTATATGGAATTCAATTCATCCCCATTTCTAAGATCAAATGTGCAGAATCAAATGGTAATTGTGGCCCATGACCCAATAAAAGTTGTCCGCCCTTAATTACATCCTCCACCAGATATTACTTTATAAAATGGAATCAAAAATAACTATCCTTGGTCTGCATGTACAGTATAACAGCTTTAACTTATCCAGGAAATTAAACTGATGATTTAAGAATTGCTTTGAACAGAAAGGCACTAAACCTCAATTGATTCTCTTTGGAAGCAAATTACTATACTTTACAAGTATTAACAGCTGAATATTGACTTTGAATAATCAATCCCTTTGTTTTAGATGCAGTACAGTGAATAGTCGCTTGGCAGCATATGAAGTTCTAGTAATGTTGGCTGATAGTTCACCCTCAAATCTTCAGCTTATTACAAAAGAATTGCTTTCTATGCATCACCAGCTTGATCCAGCTCTTTCCAAGGAATTTGATGTAAGTAAACTGGCTTTTTTAGTTCAAATAGTAATACTACTCAGAGGTTTAGACAAAATATGTATTGAATAAAATCAATATAGGTAAGTTCCATACTTAAAGAAAAAATTTTCAATCAGCAACATTAGTTCTTTGTAAATTACATCTATTTTTCTATGTTACAATTTTTTCTTCTTACTTGCCTGTACCCTCAGTATCTCCCACCTGTAGATGGTCGATCCATTTCTGGATTTGTGGGGCTAAAGAATGGTGGAGCTACCTGTTATATGAATGCAGTTTTCCAACAACTGTATATGCAGCCAGGTCTACCTGAGGTAACATTTATTCAGAGTCTTGTGAAAAATGCTTTTAGCAAGCCTGTTAACTATATACATAGAGGTTTCTCAGAAAGGAAGGAGAGTTTACATACAAAAAACAATGTTGATAAGCAGCAACTTGAAATTGACCCATGTTAACAGACTAAGACTGTCCTGGGATAGTCAAATCTGATTGAGTGCTGAGATAAGAAATAAGACTCTGAAAAATTAAGTTTGGTTCTCCAGTTATTCAGTCTGAATACAATGCAAACAGCTGTCTCTTTATTTTATTTTATTTTATTTTATTTTGTGTTTTAGTACTATAAAATGAATTTGGTAAGGAATCTATGCAGGGTTGAAATAATCAGAGTTTTTAATAGCTCTTTTAAACATTGCATTTTTAAAAAAATAAACTTTATTGAATTTTTATTACATTAAAAACATAAAAAATATATCACTCAATAACAGCTATTTGTGGTGCTTATCATATAACAATCATTTGTGCAATATAAACATTGCATTTTTAAATGCCTGTTGGATTTAGTGGTCTCCTATGGTGGAAAATAAATGCCAAATTGGGAGACTTTTGTGCAAAAATAAGGGACATTCATAAGGAATTATGTTGTTCCTTCCTGAGCTGATTGCCAAGGATTTCAGTAGGGATGTGATGCATGGATTTAGTTTTTCATTAAAAAAAACATTAGTCCAAGGTAGCTGGTTGATGTACCTCTTAATAGATTATGACATAACTTTTCAAGATGAGAAAGAGATGACAATGAGACAGAGCCGTGTTACTAAAAACAAAGGTTCTTTCTGTCACCAAGATGATAATGGTAACTAATGATTTTCTGATAACAATATGAACAAAGCTGATCATTATCAGTAGATCCAAGAGTTTGTACTAGAACATTATAATTAATTGCTTCAGTGGCATAAATGAATACAAATAATGTATACTAAGTTAGAAATAAATATTGTTATACTTTCAAGAAACACTATTGAAATTGTTTCTAAAGGCATTGCTTTCAATTGATGATAACATGGACAATCCTGATGACAATGTATTCTATCAAGTTCAATCCCTCTTTGGTCATTTAATGGAAAGCAAGCTGCAATATTACATACCGGAAAACTTCTGGAAGGTATCACTTACTGTTTTTAAGTATAAATCCTTTTTTTCCCCTTTCTTTTTTTCTCATCATGATTTGAAATGATAATTCAGATCACAGCATTTTGAAAAATCAGGAATGTTGTGAAGGATTCACATTTAATTTTAGTTAGCCCTACTCATAATCTTTCAGTGATATAGAATCCTAAAGTTTGTTTATTTAAATTTATTAGCCTCCCAACTGCAATTGACTCAAGTAGTATTCTCTTTAATAATATTCTCAGGAGAAGAATCCAAAGTAGTATTCTCAGGAGAAGGTATATTTTCTTATTAAAAGAGTTGGGTAAAGGATAAGAAGAGACCTTTCTCTTCCTGTTTAGATTGGCTTTCTTAGTGCATTCTAGTGACATTTACAGATCTTGAAGCGCTTAACTGAGTGGATTCCATCTATATTTTATAGATCTTTAAGATGTGGAACAAGGAGCTTTATGTACGTGAACAGCAAGATGCTTATGAATTCTTCACCAGCCTTATAGATCAAATGGATGAATACCTTAAGGTGAACTACACTTTTGGTACATTGGTATAGTAATTCAGTGTCATTGTTTCTATGGATGTACACTTAATCTGCTATTGGCTTTTCAATCTCTTACAGAAAATAGGAAGAGACCAGATCTTTAAAAACACCTTTCAGGGCATATATTCTGATCAGAAAATCTGTAAGGATTGTCCTCACAGGTAAGTGAAGATCAGGTGTCACAAGATAAAGCAGATCTCCCTCTCCGCATACTGAAAATCTACAGGTGAAGAAAGAGATCCACTATTGTAAGTTTAGCATGGCAAACACACAAAAATCACTATTTTGATCACTGCCATTGGTACCAAATGAAATCTTTGAATATACTGATCCAAAGCTGTTGCATTTATGGACTTTCTAGAATTAAGATGGAGGTGGGGGGAGAATGTATATAAGATCCTGGATCTGCACACTTCCTTTTTAGGTATGTTAACAGGGATAAAGGAAAAACTAGAGAAAAAAGAAAAAGCATGACATATACAAGTGGTACAGTTCAGTGCTTTAATCATACTTTTAATAAATAATAAATGTTATTACTGAAATAGACAAAATCTTACAGCATTGTTGACATATTAGGGTACAATTGTGAATTCTTACTTTCTAATATTCTATTTTTTTATGTTGTAGGTATGAACGAGAGGAAGCCTTTATGGCTCTCAATTTAGGGGTCACTTCATGTCAAAGTCTAGAAATTTCACTGGATCAGTTTGTAAGAGGAGAGATTCTGGAAGGAAGTAATGCATACTACTGTGAGAAATGCAAAGAAAAGGTAATACTTCTACCTTATTTAAGAGTTAAAGTACTTTGATTTTTCTATGGGAAGAGATCCCTCTGGATTCATTAGTGCTGTGAGAAATTTTGAGTCTATCCTTAGCTTTATATGCTTGTTTTTTTAATTAAATATTTATTCAACTTTTCTTCAGGGTTAATATGAGATGACCCTTATATTTTTCCTTACAATTACCTTGAATAATAGTGAATCCTTAAAATTTTCCTCGGATTTTCAGACTGAAAAAGAATATGAAACATTGTCATAAGACCATTTCCAATCTATAGCTTCCTGCTTGTGTCCTTCCTTTGCAATCCTTTATTAATATATGTATTTCTAATCACTGGAAATTCATAGAGATCAAAACTTAACTTTGCTGCCATGATTACTAAAAAAATCTTTGATTTTTCACTTCATTTTTATATTTGGGAATTAATTTTAGTTTCCTGCCAGATGAAAATAATTATTTTATTTATAGATTTTCAGCAGATGTATTAAAGATCTCAATTGATTCAATGAATTTAAGAACTGTTTATTTAAAAATGCTGCAAAGAAAAAAGGAAATTAGCACACTGAACACTTTTGTAGTTTTGTACCCTTTTTAAAAATCTGTTAAAAATCTAATACTTTATCCCACAATATGCAACTTGGAGAATCGTGTAGTCTGAAAGCTATTTACTGGTTCTCTGAAAATTCCAGTTTTTCTTGTAAAATATTAATTTTATATTTCCATGTGATTTTTTCCTAATATGACTTCCCTAATATGAAAATTATCCTAAAACTATATATATTGTATTTCAACAAGCTAGCTATATGTATGTATGTATGTATGGCATTCAGCTTTGTTCGGGTATTTTCCCACGTCATTGTAGTTGTGCTTTTAAAGTTGTAGCAACGTTTCGGCAGAATCTCATCTGCCATCATCAGGCTTCTGTATAGGGTTCATCACCACCTACCAGGAAAAAAACCACCCCCATCAGTGAAGAGATCCAGTAAAGAATCATCTCCAGAGAAAAATCATCCAGATGCCCTAAACTCTATGGCCTCCCCAAGATACACAAAGAAGGAACACCACTCAGACCCATAGTCAGCTTCATAGGCTCACCTCTACAGAATCTTGCCAAATTTCTCGCCAAACAACTCCAGCCCTACACAGAATCCATCATCTCACACGTACAAAACTCTTTCCACTTCATAGAAGCAATAAAGAAACAAAACCTATAACCCGGCGACCTACTTGTGAGCTTCGATGTCATATCCCTCTTCACCCAAGTACCTATTAAAGAAACCTTGACAGCCATCCAAAACAAATACAAACCCCCCGAAGCACATCCTAAATCTGACCTACCACTGCCTAACCAACACATACTTCATCCACAATGGACAAAGATACAAACAGAAGGAACACCTATGGGGTCACCCCTCTCACCCGTCATCGCTAACGTATACATGGAACACTTTGAAACCAATGCTCTAGACAAATCTGAACCCAAACCCAAACTCTGGTTTAGATATATAGATGACACTTTTGTAACTTGGCCACACAGGAAAGAAAAACTGGACAACTTCCTCACACACCTCAACAGCCTATACACCAAAATACAATTCACCATGGAAACAGAAGCCAACAACAAACTTCCCTTCCTGGACATCCTAATTTACAAAAAACCCTAGGACACTCCATCCACTGGAAGAAAACACACACCAACTGCTACTTAAACGCACAATCCCATCACCACCCTGCACAGATCAACTCCATAGCCAAGACCCTCATCTCCAGAACCAAACGCCTAGCTGACAAAGACCACCTGAGAACAGAATTACACACCCTCACTGACGTATTAATTTCCAATGGATTCCAAAGAAGCACAATTACCAACCTAATCCTAAGGGAGACACCCCCCAGAAACTGAGACACAGAACAGGACAATGGTATTGCCCTCTTCCCCTACATCAGAGGCACCACAGATAAAATCAGCAAAATTCTCCACAGGCAAAATATCAGGACAGCCTTCAGCACTGACCAAAAAATAGCCAACATCCTAAGAAACCCCAAAGACAAGATCCAGCTAGAAAACCAAGGAGTTTATGAAATACCATGCAACAATTGCCCAGCCACATACATTGGACAAACCAACAGGAGAATAAATGCATGCATCGCAGAACACAATAATGCAGTCAGAAAAGAAGAAAATACTTCCTCCCTTTTCCAGCACCTTAAAGCCACAGGACATGAAATTAATTTTGAGGGAACCAAATTAATCTCCAATACTGAACACTTCAACAAGAGAATAATCAGGGAAGCCATCGAAATAGAGAAACACCCCATAACATGAATAAATGGGACGATACCTCCTGCCTACCAGACATCTGGAAACTAGCCCTTATCAACAAACGAGTCCCTGCCACGAAAACTAACACTGGACCCAAAACAACACATGATGCCACCACCAATCTCCCTCACCAGACTCAAACCCAAACCCACCCCATAGACGAAAGGCAACCACCATCCAGAAACCAGACCATGGCTGCATCACCAGCTGCCACACACCCCGACCCCCAAACCAAGCAAACTTAACACATAGCCAGGCCTCAAACTCGGAGCCAAACCAAAACCCGGAACGTCACATCACAGCCCCCCGCTCAGGATATCACATCACGGAACTCAGGAAGTTACACCAAAACAACTCAGCATGTTACAACACAGCCAATGACTCAGGAGATTACAGCACAAGACCCAGGATGTCACAACATTAGAACTCAGAAGGTCATCACACAGCCCATGACCCAGGTCATTACAACCCAGGAGATTACAGCACAAGACCCAGGATGTCAAAACAACAGAACTCAGAAGGTCATCACACAGCCCATTACCCAGGTCGTTACAACACAGGAGGCTGATAGACACACAGCCAATACCTCAGCCACACATGTTCTTACGAAAAAGCCAGCCAATCTGCAAACATCAACTCTATCAACCAATCAAGAAATGATAACACAGCCAACCTCCCCACCAGTATATATAGGGAGACGGCAGCTCCGATCACGCTTTGCTCGCACAAGCACGAAGCCGAAAGTACCAGCCTGAAGATGGCAAGTGGGATCTCATCAAAATGTCGCCAAGATACTCTCAATCTTACACGGGAAAAGACCCGTACATGCCAAGACAGACAGACAGACAGACAGACAGACAGACAGACATTTATATACATAAAAAATAAAAAGCTTGTTGAAATACTTGGTTGTACAGAAAATGATGTAAAATTGTTAGCATCGTCAAAAAGAACAGTATGAACTCACCATTGCTTGGAAGTACTCAGTTCCAACACTGCTGAAAAGGATGGCTTGCTGAATTTGCTTGAGGGTTATGGCACTAGATTGATAAGGCTAACAGAATGGGCTATAATGTCATTTGGGGAACAAATTTAAAATCTATACAGGTAAAATAATAAAATTCCTATAGACAAACAGTGGACCAAAATAAGTATTTAGCCAAAACTTTGGTTTATTTTTTAAGAGAACTACTGTGAAACGGACCTGCATTAAAGCTCTACCCAGTGTATTGGTGATACATCTCATGAGATTTGGTTTTGATTGGGAAAGTGGACGTTCCATAAAATACGATGAACAGATCAAGGTAAGCTTATCTTGTTTACAATGTTCTAATTACACAGTTTTTATTTTTATGATTTCTTCTATATCAGATATCGCGTAGCATGTCTATATTAAGATAGGTGCATGGACTAGCAAAGTTAAAAGTAAAAAGAAAAAACCTTCTACCTAAAGATATGTGGTGGTGGTTAAGAGGATGATGATAAAAAAAATGTAATAACTGTTTTTTCTATAGGTACAAAATAATTGATTGTGGCTTTTTTTTTTAAAGTTAAAGTTCTTAGTTTGCCTCAAAGGGTTATTTTGAAAAATCTAGGCAAAGTTCTGGAGAAACTGAAAACGTTATGATTTTCCCCCAACCAATAAAGTAATTTATTTTATTCTATCTTCATCTTGGTTTTATAAATTCATAAAAAATCTAGGTTTTATACATTCTGTTTAATTGAAGAAAATTTATTAACATGCAATGTACTTCAGTTTAAGTTTAATCTGTTTCATTTTAAACAGTTCCCTTGGATGCTGAATATGGAACCCTATACAGTCTCAGGAATGGCTCGCCAAGATTCTTCTTCAGAAGTTGGTGACAATGGACGAAATCTAGATCAGGGATGTAAAGGGTCTCCACAGAAGAAAGTGGCTCCTTCAGAAAACTATGAACTGGTTGGCGTAATTGTGCACAGCGGTCAAGCCCATGCAGGCCACTACTATTCTTTTATAAAAGATAGGAGGTAATTGGAAATAACTCTGTTCACAAGCATAGTAGTCAATTGGTCATTTGCTAGATTAAAAGCAGTGAGATAATCAGGTGTTGAATTATAAATCTTTTTGGCAAACATTTTTATGTAGCACCCCAAGCTTTAGAAACTTACATCCTCACTGAACTAATGCCACCAGATTAGATTAATATTTCCTTTTACAGATTGCTCCATCAACTGTTTGCCTAGGGCTGTTTATGAAGCTATAGATGTAAGGACAGATGTGAAATACAGTGTATGTTGGTAAACTAGAATATTTATACATTGATAAACATTTATATTTTGCAAACGTGGCTTGACAGAATACAGGAGGATTATATAACACTCTTTCAGAGTGCCATTGTTATGTATGCAAAGTAAAATAGCTATACAAAAGAACTATTGACATACACGGTTTTCCAGAAACCCCAGAAATGCAACAGACAATAAAAGTAATCTTCATAATCCCCAAAGACTTAATAAATCTTATGAATGTTGATTGGGGATGAGGGACTGAACAGGACTGAAAACCAGAAAAATACCGTGTTTCTCATATAATAAGGCCGGGTCTTATTTTTTTTTGAGCCCTGAAAAAATGGCTAGGCTGTCTTTTTGGGGGTGACTTAATTTCCCCCCCCCCCTTGCATCTTCGGGCAGGTGGGCGGCGACGGCTGGGATGTTGACCTCGGCGTTGGTGGGGCACTTTGTATCAGGGTCAACGCAGGCAGCACCATATATCCGGGTGTATAACAAAAGTACTTCCTAACAGCAAGCCCCCCCGCCATTTGCCCCCCATTTCGCATGTTTTAATATAGGCCTTAATTTGGGGGGAGGGGCTTAATTTCATTTCATGCCTCTAAAACATGCTGGGACTTCCTATTGGGGGAGGCCGTATTGTTGGAGAAACAGGGTAGCATTTAAGTTGTGCTAAAGCTTTATTTTAATGCATCACCTGAAACATTTAAAAACACCATGTTCAAAATTGAATGTAGTCTGTTCTTTTTTTTTTTCCTGTAACCACAGGGGAAGTGGGAAAGGAAAATGGTATAAATTTAATGACACTGTTGTTGAAGAATTTGAACTTAATGATGAATCTTTGGAGTATGAATGTTTTGGAGGAGAGTATAGACCAAAGGTTTATGATCAATGTAAGTATAACCCTACATTTTAATTATCTCTTACAAATATATTTAGCATATTTTAATCTCCTTATTAGGAACAGTCATTTGAAAAAACTTTAATCAAGTCTTGAAACTGACAAATGTGACTTCTATATACTTTAATTAGGCTACTAATTCTTTTTTTTAAAATAGATAACATAAAAATAAGCACAAATAAATAGCAGATGGTTCGGAGTTAAAAATGGAATAAACTGCATAGCCAGCTGAACAATGTAGTTACATGCCATGGTATCCTCCCCCCCCCCCCCCCCCGAAATCTTAATAAGTAAGTCAATAGCATTGTTGTGCCAAAAACTGAGGAAGGCAGATTTCTGTTTATCCCTCTCTAGATGGGACACACAGCTATTAGAGTGCTTTTAATACAGCTACCATTATAATTACCATCATAAACTACTTTATGAAAATGTACTTAATGTGTAGTCTTACTATGGGAATCAGGTCTCCCAATCTGAATATTTCCTTCCTTCTCTTTCCTTTCTTCTTCAGCAAACCCATATCCTGATGTTCGCCGTCGCTACTGGAATGCCTACATGCTCTTCTATCAACGAGTCTCTGAACAGAACTCCCCTGTTTTGCCAAAGAAAAGTCGAGTCAGTGTTGTGCGTCAAGAAGCTGAGGATCTCACCTTGTAAGCTTCCTTATCTTTAAATTCCAGCATTTGATTCATGTACGGAATTTCAATACTTCTGACTCCATAATTAAGGTTATCCTGTCCATATAGGACAAAACTTATTTGGAAAGGTATCCTGGGCCTATGTCTGACTACACATAATCCCAGGACATGTTTAGAGCATGGGAAATCCAAGAGAAGTTTGAAAATAAATACTGAAGAAAAGAAAAGGGTTTCCTAGTTTATAATACTCAAACTTTTCCTTATCTATATAGTCTTTTTTCCTTACTGAGGAAGCAAGCAAGTTTTGAGTGCTATCTAAACCCACTAGCCATCTGAATCCTCAGCCAATCATAGCACTATTTTAATTTGACAGATGGCTTCCTGCCAGTTAGTGATTCCACCATGACACTTAGTTATATTAACAGTTTTTGCCATGGCGGTAAATGTGATTGATTACGTTAGTGAAGCAGTGTTTTTATCCATTACTTTAGATTTCTATCCTTTTAAAATATGTATTTCTTGTCCTAACCTCAAATAAATCACCAGATTTATTTATGGAGTGATAAACCTCACAAATTCACAAAAATGTGCAAAGGGGTGAGAATTCCTCTGATATGTTGTATAATATATAAGTATTTAATATATGAACAATGACCGAACTGAGTTCATATTTACCTATACAAGTTGTGCAATCAAAGGTTCAGTGCAGGATGAACACTAAACTTGAAGTATAGAAACTGATGGACAATTATGTTTGTTATATTATTTTCTTCAGGTCTGCTCCATCTTCTCCAGATATTTCACCACAATCATCTCCACGGCCCCACAGACCTAGCAGTGACCGTCTGTCCATTTTGACTAAATTGGTCAAAAAAGGAGAGAAAAAAGGCTTATTTGTTGAGAAGATGCCAGTTCGAATATATCAGGTAAGCCATAATTACAGCAGCTGGATAGTTTTCGCGGGTATTTGTATGTGGATCTTTGGTTATTCGGGTTTTCTCCCGCGTAAAATTGGAAGTATCTAGGCGACGTTTCGATGAAGTCTCATTCATCATCTTCAGGCTTGTGTCTTCGGCTTTGTGCTTCTCGGAGTAAATAATATCTTTAAATTAAATATCTTTACTCCGAGAAGCACAAAGCCGAACACACAAGCCTGAAGATGATGAATGAGACTTCATCGAAACGTCGCCTAGATACTTCCAATTTTACACGGGAGAAAACCCGAATAACCAAAGAGAGAGAGAGAGAGAGAGAGAGAGATATTGGTAGCTACTCATAAATAATATCTGAAGCAAAATTGAAAGAATAGTTAAGATCAAAAGCTTTATTTAGTGTAAACAAGATCTTGTTTACACCAACAGCATTTACCATACCTTTCCATAACTTTCTGCCGTTGCAAAACATCTTATAGAGTAATACTAGTGAACTATGTGCAGGAAAGTGAAGGTCTAGTTTAATTAGGACTGAAAAGGCAAAATATATGTCAGAAATATTAACAGATAAAACAAAAGTTAGTGTGGGTGTATATGATAAATTAAGGAAGGCATAGATGTATTTATTATATTCCTTTTTAGCATCTTGCATTATCCAGTTTAATGTGAAAGGAAATGGTATGCTTGTTAGGCATGTATAAAGCACAATAAAAAATGAGGCTTTTAAGTGAGATTTCTAATATATGTATATATAGCTTCTAAATACCCTGTACTCCTACGATAATATTTTTATTGCTCATACAGTATCATATTTTTAAATAATTCCTTGATACTGATGTTGCTTTTCAGATGGTGAGAGATGAAAACCTGAAATTTATGAAGAACAGGGATGTCTACTGCAGTGACTATTTTAGTTTTGTTCTGTCATTAGCGTCATTAAATGCTGTGAGTAGTGAATTTAATATTTCAGTTATTAAGTCCATGCAATATCGGATATGCTAGCCTGTGAACTCAGACAAGTAAATTATCTCAGTAGGCTCTTCCAAGCTCCTTCAGAGGTCTGGAGAGTTAAGGTCAGCAGATCTCATAGATTATCAATATTTTGGAAAGATTGTGCCAACAGCCTTGAAAGAGGTGCTGCATGGTTCTACCAGTAGTTATCCTGGATTTATTGTCCAATCCTAAATATTTCCTTTTGTAGGGATGATTGGTGAGAGAATGGAGGGCATCAACTGTTGAGCACATTAGAAGAAATGGATTATCTAGATATTTGATTGGAATTCAGATCCCACCATATTGGTCACTTTTTATTAGGACCTGAACAAATTGATTATGCCATTCCTGGACCTGCTGGATTCCTTAATCTTTGATACTATTGAATATCATATTTTTGTGAACCAATGCAAGAATTAGAGAGTTCAAGTCTTGTTTAGTAGTGAATAGTTTCAGTCACTGGTTATGGGAAGAAAAGTTGGCTTGATAGCCATTTATTTCATTGAATGGTCTCTGAAAGAAACTTTTATTTTCCAGTTTCTTGTTAAAAGTGGCTTTTCCAACTTATAGTTCTAAGAATTATGTTTAAGGAACTAAAACTAAAATGCAGTCTTATACAACCTAATGTCTCTCTGTCCAGACAAAGTTGAAGCATACGCATTACCCATCTATGGCAAGAGTGAGTTTACAACTAGCAGTCCAATTTCTCTTCCAAACTTATCTGCGAACAAAGAAAAAACTCAGGTGACATTTTATTTAAAAGTTCTTTGTCTGAAGAATACACATACACTCATTCTTTTCTGGTCATACCAATATTTCTGTGTTTGCTTCCTTTAAGGACTGATACAGAAGAATGGATTGCAACCATTGATGCTTTAGTTTCTAAAAGTTTTGATGCTTGTCAGTGGTTAATTCAATATTTAGTTGAAGCTGAAGGGCGAGAGCTTATTAAGTAAGTACTATCATAGTTGGTCAATCTGTTTGATGAGATGCCATGATATTGTATCCTTCTTTCCAGTTCAAATCTTCCCCTACTTATATAGCCCCTGTTTATGTAGTTGTGAAAAAACAATGTGCAGAGATATCAGCAGGCCCACAATAACCCTATGGTTTGTAGATAACGCTAGAGGCACTTATCTTATCTAGTCTCTCTACACCTGTGAATATTAAGTTTCCCAGTAGGGGGGGGGGAGGCAAATATAACTTAAATTAGAGAATGAATTTGGCTTCATTTCTCAACGATGGGGTATTTTTCAGAACATTTTTGCTGGAATGCAGCGTAAGAGAAGTGAGAGTTGCTGTAGCCACAATTCTTGAAAAAACCTTAGACAGTGCCTTGTTTCATCAAGAAAAGGTCAGTAATATAAAAAACCCACACTGCTCTTTTATTATTTGCATATTAGTAATTTCTATATTTTTAATTACTTAACAAGAATCATATGATTTCTAATTGTTATGAATGTAATGTTTAAACTCAGTAGATATTTTTTATGAAAATATCTGCTATGATTCTTTTAAAAGTCTGACTTTTAAGTTTAAGAAAGTGTCATCTTTATTGCAAGCTTTGGAAAAATACGTTTTGCTTTCACCTGTAATATTTTATATTCATTGTAAGCTTGAATTATTAAATTGATAATTTCAAATAAGGCTCTTGTACTTTTTTGACAGCTAAAAAGCTTGCATCAGCTAATAGAAGTGTTGCTGAGTCTATTGGACAAAGATGTCCCTGAGAACTGTAAAAATTGTGCCCAGTACTTCTTCTTGTTCAACAATTTTGTACAAAAGGTAAAAAAAAACAAAAAACCATATTCTTCTATTTTTCAGATTGTTGTAATTAGACGAAAGAATGAAGCTATATTGCAAAAAGTTTCCAGTATCACATAGAAAAAAAAAGTCCTTTGCCAAGTGGAAGCTCTCTATAGCATACAAAGTGATAAGTTTCTACTTGCTATTCCATTAGAAAAGTAAACTGAAGTTCAAAGATCTAGGGAAGGTTTTTGAAGGAAGTACCAGAAGGCTCTGGAAGAAGTGGATTATCACAAATGAAGGGTGTCTCAATGAATACATGTCCCAAGATACTGTTGCAGGCTCCAATCTGGTCCGGTCACCAGGACCAGAGGTTTAGTCTTCTGAGCTTTCACACTCATGCTGGAGCCCATCCTCAGGGAACTTCTCTCTAGCAGAGTGTGTGCTTTGGGCTATTCTGGTGTAGTATTTATATGGTGCCTGTTGTGTGTGTGCCTTTTTAGATGTTGATCAGAGTGTTGATGGCTGGCTATTAAATTGTTGGATATTGTTTCTTTGTGTTGCCAAGCCCTCCTTCCTAATCCCTTGATAAATTGGTGGTAAATCAACACTTCTCTTGACTGAAGAAAAGCCCATTTCTCAGACTTCCAGTTCCTTGGAACCACATTGTTCACTCAAAGAGATGTTGTAAAAATAAAAATAAAAAAATGTATTGAAAAAAAAAAGTCTTATACTGTTGATGCTGCTTCAAATGCTACTCTTAGCTATTCTTTGCACAGTAGTTCAGAGAACAGTATAATAAGTAGACTTTAGTTATAGGTACTATATTATAATTACCTCTTAATTATTATGTTTTAGTTTTGGCAGATCAATCACAATGACCTCTTATTATTGAGCTAATAGGGAAAAAATCCAAAGGAAAAAAGCAAAGTTAAAAATTCCCAGATAGTTTGATGTCACAGAGCTATTTAAAGTCTGTAGATCAATATAGTTGAATGTAATGAAACAAGTTTTAAGAAGCATTTCAGAGTAAATGATCAATTATAATTAAATATTTAAAATATTTAACCTCTTTTTGTGGTCTTTCCATGTTTTCTAGAACATAATCCTATGTTTTTCCTGTCTTCTACAGCAGGGTATAAGAGCCTGTGACCTCCTCCTCAGGCATAGTGCCTTGAGTCATATGATTAATTTCCTTCTTGGTCCCAACCGGCAGAATAACCAGGTATGAACGTAACACCAGTCTCTGAGCAGAGTGTGTGCTGTAGTCTAGTTCAGAAGCTTAGTATACCTAATAGTTGGGACTTTGGGAAGACCTATTCACTCTTCAAGCTTTGCCACAATCACTGCTGGTTTTAAATGCAGGAAGACTGCAAGAAATGCAATAATATTGTTTTTCCCCAAGAACGGGCAATGTCCCCTAAAATTACAGCTTCTGTTCATTCAGAAGTAACCCCTAAGTTAGAAAGTATGAGAGCTGTTTGGCCTAAATTACTTTAACTGCCAATTATGGGACTGTCAGATAAATTTGATTGGGCATAGTTAAATTTGAATAACTCTGAATTTCTACTTCTTGAAGTATCCTGTATGCCCATAAATGGGATTTTCAATCGGGTGTTGACAGATAGCTTAGATGCTGGCTGTGCTAGAAAGTCCAATCTATCTGCCCTCCAGCCTGCCCATTCTTTTGTTCTCCTGAACTTGGAGGTTCAGGTTGGTGCAGCTCTTATGCTCTTCTTGAATAGACAACAACTTCTAGTTATTTCGGCTGTAGTAACCTTTTCACCAAATCACTCTGAAAGCATGCTGTTGCCATTCAGCCTGGCTGAATCAGTCTTTGATAATATGCCTTTATGCATAAAAAGATACATTAAATGAACTATTAGTGCTTATACGATGTTTGATATATACTTAACAAAACAGAATCGCAGATGGAGTTCCGCACAAGCCCGGGAATTTGGCTTTCTCCATAATACTGTGGCATTGCTTGTCTTGAATTCAGATGTCTCCTCACAGAGGAATGTAGGTAAGTCTTTCCAGTTTTTCTTGGATGACCCCGGCTAGATGACCAGGTGTATAGCTACAGTATGTTTGCCACCCCTGATCATTTTTAAATTACTATTATCAGTTTATTATCAGGACTAAGTATAGTTTTATATTTGTACTTCCTTTACAGCTCCTGGTTTGTTTGCCCTGCATTCACCCCTTAGCATTACTACTTCAGGGCCACTTTTGGCCCTTCACGAAGAAGTAGAAGCTTGGATATTCTTATCTGAGGGGAAGCCTTATTTAATGGAGGTAAGCAGCTATTTTACATCTATTTTATAATGAGTTAAATGTAATACAAAATGAAGGCTTAAATCAAGTTTGTCTAGAATCCAGTCTCACAATGCTGTTTAGAAATGATGTCCCTGCAACTACAATACTACTGTACAACCCAAGTAGTGAAGAGATACCAAATAAGTATGTAATGAAATGCATACCAAGTTACAGTCTGTTGTTTTTTAAATAATGCTCATCCTCTGCTCTCTTCTCAAAGGTGATGCATGCTTTAAGGGAGCTGACTGGATCACTCTCGATCCTTATTGAGATGGTGGTCTACTGCTGCTTTTGCAATGAGCACTTTTCCCTTACCATGTTGCATTTCATCAAGGTAAATTTTTGTAATACATAGATTGTTCTGGAACTGATACCTAGCACCTGTCACACTAATTTAAGAATACGCACTCTGCTATAGAAATGTTGGTTTCCATTGTGTGACTCTTGGCAACTGCTGATTCTTTTGAATTTTAAGGACTGATACACATTTTAGTTTTCAGTGCTATTACTTTAAGGAGTTACAAAATGTCTATGATTTCTTATTCTTATTCCCCATATATTCCACCAGTATACAGCATATATCCATAGCTTGTATGCTTGAAAATGTTTTTTTTCTCAAAATTTCAATTTTTACATAAACCATTCTTGCTATCTATTTAGTATCCCGCACAAATGTTTTTCAGGAAAAATTCCACTTAAAAAATTATGTCAAAATGAGTTGTAGTCTTATTGAAAAGTACAGCATTGCTCTTTAAATATGTTCTAACAAAAATATTTATGAACTTTTTACATCGTACAATCTTTTACAATGAATGCTTATAAAGTACAAATACATAGTTTACCTGTCTATCTTCTGCTTGCCTGAATTTATATTTTGGGCTTGCAGAATCAACTGGAGATCGCTCCACCTCATGAGCTGAAGAATATTTTCCATCTCTTACATGAATTATTGGTAAGTAATGAGATTAAAAGTAAAACCTCCCTCATGTCTCTATTGTTCTTGGAAATAGTACTGAATCAGTATGCTATTGAACTTAGTACTAAAGTCTTTGACTTTATTCTCAGCACTTTAAAATATGCATTAAAATGCCCCCCAAAATTAATATCTCTACATATTAGGGCCTAATTTATATATGCCATATATTTTAGTGACTTTTAAATTATACTTGGGTATAATCTATGTTAGCTGTGAATAATGTTAAAATTTTTCCTATTTTTTATTATCTGGCTTGACACAGTATTCTGCTTAAGCCAAAAAGTTTCTATTCTATTCTAATTGCTTTCAGTAGAAGCTGTTCACCACAAGCCTCAGTGTTACTAATTAAAAGTGATAAACTTTTTTATTTGATCATACCTCCTGTTTAAGTAGACTTGAAATGTTGGATTTAGTTTCAGTGTCGCTTAGCCTTACCTCTCTGTTGTTTCACAGATTATTGAAGATCCTTTACAAATAGAGCGGGTCAAATTTGCATTTGAGACTGAAAATGGATTGCTGGGTTAGTATTGCTGCATAGAATTAGTAACTAAATTCCAAAGAATCGTACAATGAATCCCAACAAGATAACAGTATTTTTAAATACTACAAGACTTTAGTTATGTGGGCGCTTCTGGTTGTAGACGTAAGAGGAAAGCCATGTTATTCTCTGAGAAGGGTAAAAAAATCAGGAGACTGGCAGCAGCTTTTCTAATTCTTTTATAAAATTTTAATAACATTTGTTAGTTGGAAAAAGCGCACCAGACTCCTGATGTTTAATTACTTGGAAAATCACTTTGAAACGAAGAAAAGTTTTGCAAGTCTCTGTTTGCATAGAAGAATCTTTTGGAAGATATTCAGAAAAAGAATTTAGAAATAAAATATATAATTCAAGAATGTTTAAATAAATGCCTTAAGAGCTATTTCCCTCCTTATGATAGTAATTTGGTTATTATGCAGTATTTTGGGGCATTTTGAGTACTGCAACTTAAGTAGACGATACCAGAGAAATAAAATATAAATTTAGGCTGTGTTACAGATTTAAAATATCTGCAACTTACTAGCTACAGCTTATTTTGTTGTATATTAATCTGTAGAAAAAAATTCCTTTGTGAGTAAAAGATACTGAGCCATAGCCTAAATTCAGACATTGCCAAGCTGATTAAAAAGCAGCTTGGTTTGGCATGATATCTAAATGTAAAATCATAGCAAATGCCATGAACTGCAGCAGTTAATGGACCATGAAATGGAGTTTAACTATGAAAATGCAAAGATAAGTTGAAATAAACTGGAAGGTGTAAAAGAGCTGTAAACTGTGCTTGACACATTAGCATTGAGACTGTGTTTATAATCTGTTTGCTGAAGATACTACTTTCATAAATTATTGTTTACATACCCTCTCTTAACAGCTCTGATGCATCACAGTAACCACATGGACAGTAGCCGTTGCTATCAGTGTGTCAAATTCTTAGTCACACTTGCTCAAAAGTAAGTATGTAATAAAAGTGAAGAATGGTGTCATGCCAAGTTATATGCTGTTAATATACTAGGATGTGGATGACATTTTAAATATCTTTTTTATCATACTCAAAGACAGAGTCAAAGGTTGAAGTGTTCAGGTATTTTCCCATGTCATTATAGTTGTGCTTTTAAAGTTGTAGCAACGTTTCGGCAGAATCTCATCTGCCATCATCAGGCTTCTGTATTGTGTTCGTCTGTGAGTCAGACTTTCACAGCCATTTCAATTTTAAATTTGGGGCTAGCCTACTGCTGTGCCAGAATGTTTTTTTCTTCATCCTGATTGATTGGGAGTCTTGGTCTGTGTATATTGGTCTTGGAATTTGCTGTTTTCTGCTTGATTGGTGTTTCTAATATCTTCTATCTGTTTTGTGGCTTTTTTTGTCTTGATTGGCTGGCAACATTGTATTCCTGTATTGGAGGCTTTTAGTGCAGCTTGGCTCCGATTAAATGGACGGCTATCATTTATTAGGAAGCTAGGTTTCATCTGGGTGCCTGGTTGGGGTGTGTTTGAGCTGGAGGTATCAGGGGGGGTCTATTTGTGCCCAGGTCTTTGCCTGGCTTGTGGTGTAGAGATTTTTTTGTTTGTGAGTACAGGCTTCCAAATAATTGACAGTCTGGTGGAATCATCTCTTCTATTCATGCTTTCAGGTCTTTTACCCAAAAGCCATAGAGATTGAAAAAAGACCTGAAAGCATGAATTTGTTTTCGTAGATTTTCACAGGTACAGGTATGTAGGTCTAGGTGTGTTCGGGTCTTTTCCCGTGTAAGATTAAGAGTATCTTGGCGATGTTTCGGCAAGGTCCCACTCGCCATCCCCAGGCTGGTGCTTTCGGCTTCGTGCCAGTGCATACACATACACATACACACACACACACACACACATACACATACATATACATATACATATGTATATGTATATGTATATATATATATAAACTTAAGAAAACAAATATGTATCTACATATATACACACACATACATACATGACACACACACACACTTATACACACACACACACACACGTATTTAATTATAACAAAAACGTAAATGCTTAATGATAACAAAATAAAACGTTCCGGGCTGGAAGCCTCCCCCCACCTGGCACCTTCCAAAGAGACAGAAGAGCAGGCAGGGTGTGTGTTTGTGTGTGTGTATGTGTGTGTGTGTGTGAGCTGAGGGGCTTCGGGGCAACTGCCGCTGGGAGAAGCAGAGGCAGAAAGGAGGCTTTGCTCTCCTTGGGGGGCAGCGCCCCTTGGCTGCCACTCCAGGGGCTTCTCAGCAGGCATCTGCCTGCAGAAGGATTGCTGCTCTTGGTGATTAATTGGGGGAGGGGAGGGGGAGAAAGTGGGAGCTCCTTCCAGATCCCAGGTGGAAGATTGAGAGGCTCAGATCTGCAGCCGAGGAAAAGCTGGGGTGCGAGGAATGGTATCCCTGGGGGTACTTCACTCGCTTTAGTACTTCGCTGCCAAACCCAGCCACAGCCAGTGATTATTTGGGAGTGGGGGGAAAAGAGAAAGCATCTCTCGCATTACCAGGGGAGGAAAGGAGACGAAACAAAGCTCACTCTTTCACTGAGACCTACAAAACGCCAATCTACCGTGTTCCAGGAGTTCTTTGAAATCATCAAACGCTCCCACTTGCAGTTCCCGTGCCTCCTGGCTCAGGTCCCTGAGATGCACGCTCCCACACCTGCTGGCGGCGGCAACAACAGTGTCCTCCCCCAGCGCCCACTGTCAGCTCTCCCCATTAGTTTTCTAGCTTTGAATTGCTCCCGGCTCTCTCTCTTTCCTCCCCCCCCACCCACGTGCAGGCAGGAAAGGAAAGGGAGATAGAGCCGTGCACAGCTCTCCCCTTTTCCAACCCCTCCCAAAATCGAAGCCTCGGAAACGCAGGCAAAGCCACCACAGCAGTAGCGACCTGAGTTGCTTGCTTCTCCACTACTGCCTCCTCCTCCTCCAGCACCACTTCCTTCTCTGGGTAGGGCGATTCTTAACTAACTGAGCATGCTAAGGCAATTCAAAGCTAGAGAACTAATGGGGAAGAGCTGACAGCGGGCGCTAGGGGAGGGGACTGCTGTTGCCCCCACCGCCGGATGTAGGAGCTGGTTGGCGCATGCATCTCAGGGGCCTGATTCCGAAGTCCCTCAGGGAGCCTAGAGGCGCAAGAACTGCGCGGCCCACATTAATTGCTTTTGGGGGCCATTTCTTCTGCGGCCCACCAAAATTTTTCAACGGCCCACCGGTTGGCGACCACTGCTCTATAATCTAGGCAGGGGAAATATTAACATTGCCAGAGTAACTGCCAATGACTAGCCAACATATAGAAATATTGGTGAAAAGAACAATATTAATAAAGCATTAAAAAGAATTGGTGAAAAATATTCTCATAGGAACGCCTTGGGTTGAGAAAAAAAATAGCATGAAGAAACACTACAAATCTCAACAGAAAAAGGCTCACAGAGGACACTTTTACTTAAAAAAAATAGGCTTGTAATTAGCCATGTGTTTTTGTGAAGATACAACTACTGCTAATATTCTTTTGAAATATTTTATCCTTCCTGCTTTGTATTGGCAGCAAAGTCAATGTCAATAATTATTTCAATATGATCTTGTAAATTGGAATAATTTAAAGTGAACAGGTCACATAATCCTTTAATATCTCAGATACATAATTTTCATAATTTCTCTTCTTTCTTAAAGATGCTCTGCTGCTAAAGATTATTTTAAGGAGAATTCTCATCATTGGAGTTGGGCTGTTCAGTGGCTTCAAATAAAGGTAATATTTATTATTACAAAAATAAATGTATATAGGTACAATGTAAATCAGTGTAAATTAGCCTCAATAAGTCCTATTCACCATGGTTCAGAAGTTCCTTCAATGGGTCAATAGTAAGAAAGAGGGAGCGGGACTTTTTTATTCTTGGAACCAATCTGCTGTGTGGTTTTCATTGTTGCTTTTACATTTTCACATTTTTCTAGATGTCTGAGCACTACTGGGCTCCACAAAGTAATATATCCAATGAAACCTCAACTGCCAAAACCTTTCAACGCACTATTTCTGCACAGGTCAGTAAAACTGGTTATAAGTTTATTGCATTTGTGTTCCTTTTACTTTATATGTACAGTGATAAATAGATATTAAGGCTACTATGTGGGAATATTATAAGTGGAATATTTCTATTGATTTTTGGGTTGAAAGGAAAGATGGGTATATAATTTGAATTCATTTCCAACGACTATGCATCTCTTTTTCCCCCGGTGACTTCCAATTGCATCTAAACACATTACCTTAGCTTTTAATTCTCATACTTTTTTTAGGACACACTAGCATATGCCACAGCCTTGCTGAATGAAAAAGATCAATCAGGAAGCAGTAATGGATCTGAGACCAGTCCAGCCAATGAGAATGGAGGCAGACATCTACAACAAGTACGTAGGATGGTTTTGTTTAATACATGACATATGACATATTGAAAAAATCAAGTAGCCTGTCAAATGTCTAGCAAAGAACTCATAGAGAAGAAGACAAAGGAAAGATCTTACTCCAACTTTTAAAAATTAGCCTGTTGTAGGAATTATGTATTATGTGCCGAGACTGAGAAGTGTGTATGTGATCACTACTGCATCCATAATATTCTACAAGACAAAGAAAGACTTTACATATATTATACAAGTCATAATACTAAGCATACTACTATAGATCTATTCACCCACTTCATAAAAAAAGACTTAAGTCATCTCAAGCAACACAAGATAGGAACAGTCTCTGGTCAGGAACAAAACCAACAATAAATAGAAGTGGAGGGAGAAACGGAAAGATCGAAAAACTGAAGAACTATAAGTACATCAACTGGAATAATAGGATAAAACCCCATGAATTTAGGAAAACAAAAGAGGACTGTGCGAGAACAAAAAGAAGAAACAAAACAAATTTCAGTTTCCCTCCCTCCAAATGAACTCAACAGATACTAATAGTATACAAGATGTCAATCAGAACGTTTAACAATTCTCAAATTTCTCTGAAGCCATTCCAAGGATCTTGATTCAGTGTAATACCTTCAATTAATTGCAAAGATTGTTTGAAGGGATGATTGAAATCAAACTCTTTGATTTAATTCATTCATCTGAAAGTTCACATAGTCCTAATAATAGCTTACGTGATGTGCTTTGTTTTTAAGGCCCTATTGCCTTCAGTGGCAGGCCAGCGCTAAAGGAAATGGTGAACATGGGCAATATTCAAACATTATGTAGCAGGTAAAATGTCACAATATAGTAATAGCAAGATTATATTATTACATTGCACTGTATTTATATTCCATCTGTCCTCCAATAGTTCATGGTAGTGCTGATCTAATTTATATTGCATTTATTTCTACACTAACCTTCAATGTGGTCAAAGTTTTAGATGAAATTAACAGTTCAAACCTTAAAATATTCAAATAAAAGCTCTATCAATAGCAACTTCATTAGTTTGTTAAACAACATATGACAATATAGATTCTGTACGCAGTATCAGGAAGACTTGTGTACATCTGCATTCTCCTGGTCATTTTCACCACCAACCGATATTAAAAGAGAATTATCTCTGATTCTAGATATGTTCTAACGTCATGATGACATGGAGCTATTGATAGCTTTGTCTTCCATGAATTCGTTTTAAGTGCCATATGCTGAAGGACGTTTTTTAATATAGCAAATTCCATACATGCTTCCGTTTTAGTGCTCCTAATCATGGTGTGTATTCCTAGTCTAATACAGGTAGTCCTCGTTTAGCAACTGCAGTTGGAACTGGCAACCCTGTTGCGATGTGTCAAGATCGTTCAGTGAAACTTCACGTGACCACACCTGACTTTACAATATCAGTTCCACTTTGGTCATTAAGCACACGACTGAGCCTTAATTATTTCCTGCTGGTTTCTCCATTAACTTTGTCAGTCTGAAGGTGGCTGTGAAATTTGCAGATGGTGATCATGTGACTGCAGAACACTCTGACCACTGTAATTGCATGCCAGTGGCCAAGCACCCAAATCGCTATCCCATGACCACAGGGACGCTGCAACCATTGTGCTATCGTAAGGTGGAACAATTGCTAAACAGGGCAGTTATTAACCGAGGACTATCTATATTTCACATTCAGTCCATTTGCTCTTTTTGTGGAAAAATATAGGGTTAATTTCTGGTTTGCAAAAGGCAGGTACTAAATGATGCCCAGTGCAATAACTCTTTGTTCAGTTTAAACAAACAGCTAATTCTTCTTGTATTTCTAATTCTTTTGTATTTATTAAAAGGGCTCAGTATCTCCCATGATGATTGGCGAACCTAAAAGTGACCTTGAAGATGTGGATACTTAATTGATGGCTGCAAGCTGAAGGAGAAAAAGCTCCTCTGAAGTGGGGAATACCCAGCACTTTCGTGATATGCCTGGAATCCTTTTGTTTTCACTTTTAGAGGAATCTGAAGTAAATGCTTTCAAAAGATCGGTAGGTACTTTGTAATGAGTTAAAAGTATTCTTCAGTTGAGAAGTTTCATCATTAGGCTATGAAAGTCTCCTGGCATCTGCTATGGTTCTTATAGATACTAGCTTAGGCATGAGTAAAGTAAAACAAAACAAAACCCTGTCAAGATTCCACCCATTTAAGAACAGTTATCAAGTAATTGAAACTTTTATGTGAACATTTAATGAGTGAATGTAAAACTTTTGCTTTTCTGTGATGCTGCAAAACAAAAGAAAAAAAGAAAAAAAAAAGACTTGGGTTTTATACAGAAGAAAAAATCAGATTGCCTTTACATATAAATGGCAAATTTTTAATCTTTTTTTTTTTAAATATTGAATAGGAATATTCAAAATTATGTAAAAAAATGTGTGATTTACACTTGGCATTGTAAAATATTAGTTAAGAATACATTTACACAAGGACTTTTGTATTTAATATGTCTCTAGGTAATTTGTATAGTGCTTTACATAAAGGGTTCTTTTTAAGAGAGCCCTTTTATGTAAGGATGATTATTCCTTATGGAATGGTTTTGGTACAAGTTAGTCTGGAATCGGTAACCTTTTTTCCTGATGCTGTGTGCTTAAAGGGTAAGAGCAATAAAACAGCTTTGTTTATTCCAAGAATACAATTATGGCATCAGTAGAACTTTTTAGAAAATGAAGAGTAAGTTTAACAAAAAAAGCACTTTAAGACAGAATTTTATTGCTGTTTGCCTCTTTAAATCATCCTTCTACTACTTGGAGACATATTGAATAAACCATTGTGTTAATAATGTGATCTGCAATCATTTGCTTATACTTTTAAATTGAAAATTAGAAATTGGCTTTACGTGATTGAGTAAAGTAGGGACATTTCAATTATTTAAAAAAATTAACACAGGCAAAAGATTGCAAGCTATTTTGCTTAGCTAGACAGCACTTGGAATACAAGTGCAATTCTTTCATAACTGGAAACAAATTGAACTTAATATGGGTATGCTTTTGTTCACCACGTGAAATGCAGTTCAATAATCTCTTAAACTACTCTCAACACTTTTTTCCACACCAATGTTGAATCCCAGGGGTTTTTTTTCCATCTTTTTCTTCATTTGCTTTTCCTTTTGTTCAAGGATTTTTGCCTTAATTTATACAAAATATACCATGCACATGAACTGGGGGGAAATGCTCAGAGTGCCTGGACAATTTGCCAAGTCAAAGGCACAAGCAGCCAAAAAGTGCCTCTTTTTTTCTCCTTCTTTTATTACTGTTACAAAAACGGAACTGGCACATAAATTACTTCACTGTAGTGCACTAGTTGTGAATATAGCAGGTCATTTCACTGTTGCTGGAAACAGCCGCACCTCCTCCAGTTGAAATTCTCTGCCATACGGGTGAGTCAGAGAAGTACTGTTAAAAATGACGCTTCAGCTGAATGTCTTCTCTGAAGGTATAGTACTTCCAGTGAAGTTAGCAGAACTCAGATATTTTATTAAGCCTTCAAACATTTTAATACAATGTTTTAAAATTTAGAATAAATGTTGTTCCTATCCCATCCTGACTGTGTCACCCTATCTTCCGTTTAATTTAAATGAAAGTAAGTTAGAGAGCTGATCTAAAGAGGAAAGCATCGGTCCAAAATCATTTAAATTTGCATCGTTTCCTATGGAAAAGGGGGTCTCATCCCAAGTTGAAGCAGGGCATTTTTTTCAGAATCACAAGATGGTGTGTTTCACCACTAATACTTTCTAAAACCAGGGCAAACTGTTTTCTGCTTCACTCCCAGCTTGTAAGAAAGTTCATGGCTATGGTTTCAAATATAATATTTGGTCAATTATTTGGCTTACAGCTGTTATCACTTCAATCGGCTGAAGACTTTTTTCAAAAAAGAAACTAATTTGCCGTGCAAATTGTCACACATTTTATGTTGCAATCTCTTTTATTGATAGTCCTTTTGGATGAAAAATGCATTTTTATACATAATGTTCTCTAGGATTGGGACAATTACAATTCTGTTGCGTCTTCTCATTGTGTACAATTGTGTTTAATTAGTTCTCAAGGCAGTGAAAAATAGAAGGGAGAGGCAGTTTCCCTGAGGGGGAAAAAAATCCTGGTCAATGGAATAAAATCCCTCTCACACACAAAAAAGAAAAAGATGCCTGATTATTAAGTTAAAAAACAGTAGTGTGGTAGCCTCGAGGTGGAGGTCTCACCTCACAATCAGAAGGCTGTGATTTTGATCCTAGGTAGCAGCAGATTTCCCCCTCTCTGGGCGCACAGAGAAAATATCTGCTGCAAATTCCACATAGGCGTCAGTGTTTTACAGCACCTTCTGAGCTGTGAGGATGGAAAAAAGATGGAAGGCTGAATCAACCTTGAGCCCATCAGAATTGAACTCCTGCTTATTGGCAGAATTAGCCTGCAATTAGCCTTCTAACCATTAGCCTTCTAACCATTGCGCCACCAGAACAATATCAGTATGCTATTTTATATTGAAAAGTGTGAGGGTATTTAAGGATATTTTTCATACCTATCTTCTATATAATCTGGTAATTTATATACCTCCTAAAGTATTTTGTTCTGCCACACATGTTATAATGAGTATTGCGTATAAGTTTGAATGTCTTGAAAAAAATCAAGACATGATAAAAATTAGATTTTTTTCCTTTCCCGTTTCCTTAAATATAATTGTAGAAAAATGCAGAGGAGGGGTTTAAGTACAGCTTCATAAATGGAGCCACATTAAAATTGTAAGAAACTTTATTTCAAAAAGAAATTGCTTTATAAAATGTTATATAAAACAGAATAAATAGATCCCAGATAAAAAAGTAAAATCCACAGCACAAAGAAATCTTTTCAAGCAATTACAGTAGATAATACATTTGAGTATTAACTCCAAAACAACACAGGCGGTTTACTCTATTCATGATTTGGTGTTCCTTTTGATCTTTCTAAAGCAGAAATGCAACAGGCTCCAATACACATTTACTCTGAACTAAACTTACATTTAAGGAAACGTATATGGTCCCTTAGTTAAAAATATTTTTATCCAGTAATTGAACATACATGTGGTTAAAGACTCAATTATATAGGCAATTAAACATTTGGTAAGAGGGAAAGAGTTTTACATGATAGTAATAGCTTAATTTGAAAAACTAATTTAAATAGTTGCTACCAAATACTTTGTTAGGAAACTACACTATTTGGTGTAAGTTACCCAGCATTTACTTGGTTTCATGGTTGCCTTAAGGCCACTCATGCAGGAGTCCTAAGTCTTCACTGCTTTTAAAAGCTCCAAGTTTGCTTGCATAAAACTATTCTGCATCGATCCAGTAGTCTTCCTGGAGCCCAATAATTTTTTTTCAGCTACAGTTCCCAGTATTTTTTAGAATAATAATCCTCATCATAAAGAGGATGAAGCTGAGAGTTATGCTTCAAGGAGACTAGTAGTTTTCTATCTTGGTCCAATCTCCTTAGAGAAAACTACTCTCATTTTTGCAGAGCTTCCTCCATTTATGGCTACAGAAGCTAACTCAGTTCATTTACAATAATTTTAATGTGTTAAGTAATACAATTGAGGTAAATGTTTCCTGTGTGAAATAAAAGAGGAGAAACTTCTGCTTCTCAAAAATAAGTATAAGGATACAATAGGATAAAATCCTGTTTCAGACCAGCTACAACCCCATTGTTAAGCAGTTTTGTATAATGGCACAGGAAAATGAGGACAGAAAACAGCAATGTACAATCTAGATCAGTACAGTACAATCTAGATCAGGGGTGTCAAACTCGCAACCACACATCACATTACATATTGCAACTTTTTCCCCCTTCACTAAACGGGGAGGGCGTGGCCAGTATGATGCATCCAGGCCGTGGGCCACGAGCTTTACACCCCTGATCTAAATCCTAGATGACCAGCACTGTTTCAGGTTGAGAGCTACAACAGCCATTGAATCTCAAGAAGTGAACAGAAGCAAGAGAAACACTACCCAACTCTTATCAAATTGTATTTGAATACTGGCAGGCCTTATTTTATTGTGTTTTGCTTTATTCAATTTTACGTATACTGCATTTTTTTAGTAAATTGAAGGCTTATGGCAACCCTGCATCAAACAAATCTATTGGCACCATTTTTCCAACAGCATTTGCTCATTAGTAATAAAGAACCTTAATTAAGGTATGTACATTGTTTTTAGACATGGTATATTTTACACATAGAGCTCAAACATAACTTTCATATGCAATCAGAAACCTCCCCCCCGCCCCTTCCCAAAAAATTGTGTGACTCACTTTATTGCAATATTTGCTGATCTGGAACCGAACCCACAATATCTCCCAGGTATGCTGTTTCCTTTTAAAGTATTAAAACAGTTAAATTATTATGTAACAGTTTAACTACAAAGGAGTACTATTAATTGCATGGGGCCTTTAGAAGGAAGGGTTAATACAGCCCATGGTTTGCCTGTTTGCTGCAAAAAAACCTTACTGTATAAAAATATTTTTAAAAGGAGGAAATAATGTTAATTGGTATGTTCTGCAATTAATCTGCTATCCTGGGTAAATTTATAGTATTAGTACTTTCACCTTTTACAGTTTTAAGCATCACTCGTATATACATAGAAGTTTCTGGTTATAGTTCAACCAATGAAAAGTTGAGACCAAGCTAAATAATTACACAGAAACTGTTACCTTCTTCATCCTTCTGCCTGCTCCTCCCTCTGCTCCCTAGCCGCCTACACAACGATAAGCATAATGCATTGAACTAATGGATGGTTAACAAAATAGATACTCTAAAAAGCCTGGAAGTCACTGATTGCAACTAAAAAGTTGTTGAAAAATCACATATGCAGTTAACAGATAAAATATATTTTACAAATGCAGCTTAACTGATATTACCAAGACATCAAAGACACCCATCTCTTGATAACAACGATGGGAATGTTGCTAGAGGGACAATGTTTTGCACAATTGCAGCATCTGAAATAGCTGTGCTAAGGCTATCACAAGTAATCCCAAGTTGTATTGGAGCCCTGCTCGAGGGACTACTGTGTTTGCCAGTGTGACCCTATATGGCAATTGTCAAAATTCGTGGCTCCTTTGGATAGTTGGAGGGGGGTGGGAAGGTAGAATTGTCACTTGTTACGGGAACTTTGCCTCTCATCCTCTAAGAGCCTCTTTCTGCAGCAGATGGCAACTGCGGTTGCTCCTTTGCTTCCTGGATGGTTGATTACAACACAGGTGTTATCCATAGAATAGGCCCCAAGAGTGTTGGAGCTATGTGACTGGGCATTACATCCAGTTAGAGTCCAGCCATCATCACAGGTCTCCATCACCTAAGTAAAAGGAATTGGAGGTTCTTTTAATCAACATACTGCTAAAATTCTCATGTCTGTAATCTTTAACGGGGCAATCACAGGGCAAAACATTTTCAAAATACCTCAGATGGGCTAACTTACAGAATGTATCCAAAATCCAGGACCTGTGACTCCAGTGGAATTGAAATTTGGTAAACTTTATAAAACATGATATAAAAATAATAAAGCATTTTATGACATAGTACAACGTATTTCCTATGGTCAACTGATGTTTGTGCTATACAGTTCAACATGGGCTACTTTCAAACAGATACATCTTTGAATATCTCCCTGATTTTTAAGAACTTTTCAAGTACATTAGAAGTTATGGCATTGTTGAAGGCATTGAGAAATCTGGCAAGGAAATATATCTGAAATTAGGAGCCAACAGGACACAAGTTGCCTAGTAAAAAAAAGTTTCCAAAATGGTGTAGGTTCTCCCAATCTGACTGGAATTCAACTCTAGCAACACTAGCCAGCATGTCCAGTGATCAAAGATCATGAGAAATATATGAAAAGGAGGTTCCCTACCCTCTGTGTCACTGACTTTTCTTGCTCTGATTTTTTTCCCTTTTGAAAATTATTATTCTGAGCTCCTTTTTTAGCAGATCTGTGAACAGACAATCTGTAACAGCCTTTTTCTGCCTACTCTGTGGCCATGCAAGGAATTGCACAGAATCATTTTCATCTTCAATTCATTAGAGCTTGCCCGTCTTAGGAACCAAGTTACCATAGTTAGACCGAGAGATACCATCAAGAATGATACGCGCATACCTTTGTTGAGTATTCCAGGGGAGGATGTCCCTGAACTCTGCACTCAAGGCTGGGTGCATGGCAGCAGGAAGCATGGACCGTTGCTTCTCCTTGGCCTACACAGTGGGCCCGGCTACTATCCGCCTGGTGTACAGTTTTGATGCCGCCACTGAGATCTCCAGCCAGAGAATGGGTGCTGCAGCCTGCCAGTGTAGATCATATCAGGGCATTTTGTAAAAGATTCACCTGAAGTATATACATGGCTATCATTGTTAGCTAACTACTGTTTGGTGGGTTTTGTTTTTGGTTTTGTTTTGTTTGTGCACAAGATGAGAAAATAAATGGCGATACGTCCCTCAGTCTTTGTATTCTCACAGGCAAAAAAAATATCCTTAGCAAAGGGAAAATAGAACTATCAACTTTGGTTTTCAATTTTTGCAAAGTGCTCAAAGAATATTCACAGTGGACCAAATGGGAAATGCCAGGCATTATAGAACAAGGCAAATGGGGAGCCCAGAACAAAGTGGAACCACGATCAGTTGTATCATTAAAGAACTTTAGATGGTCACTTAAGGTGGCAAATGCTAGAAGATGGTGAGAAGCAGGAATTACATCTTTTTCCTTCTGTTGTGGTGCTAAAGCTGGTCTCCCAGTAACATACCATTAGTCACATGATCTTATATGATGTATCTTAAGCATAGAAGACCTATTTTAGCACAGATCCCATTTGTTACAATACAACTTATACATAATGGTATCTCAACATCAAAAATGTTAACTTTCATCAGAACTGTCATCGCATACCTGTCAAAACATAGCTATCTTCGATGCAGCTAACACTTTTCATAGCTGTGCCCTCTGTGATCTGTGAATGGCTATTAACCTGGCAGTCAGCCTTGGGCCAAATGCAACATCTGGCTATGGCATAGACACCTTGGCCTCGAAATCTGTTGTGAGCTACACACACCTTCTTGCCTTCAATATCCTAGTATTTGGGTGGAGGGTGAGAAAAATGAGAACAAGACACTGAGAATGGCATCAAATCTGATTTTCGTATCTAGCTGAGATGTAGATCTTTGTATAAAATTAATTAAAATTAAACAGCAAACCACATCATCTTGCCTTTGAACATTACCTCAATGTGCTCTCCTCGCCGCTTGCCATTCTTTGATAAACTTGAGCAGCTGAACATGTCTTCATCGCTGTTGCATCGGGCAACAGCTGTTGCTGCACTGGTTGAGTCAGACAAGGAAGACCACACAGAGCGACAGTATAGTTGTTCCTCTGAAAGAGAGTGACTAATGGTCACCACTAAGGACCACCAGAATCCCATTTGTTTAGGATTATCTCCAGGCTGTTGTTCAACTACTTGGAAAGATCCTATCTTTGGAAAACACATTGCGCTAAACACATAGTTAACTGAATAAGCCACAATTGGTCATAAATCAGAGATGCTGAAGCTTGAAATTGTGCTTGCATTATTTTAACCCAAATAAAGGCAGGAATTAGCGTGCTAAGCCCATCCCGCCCCCCCCCCCCCCAATATTTTCCAAACACCAAGGAGAGTCAAATTTTCACGTCACCTTCTAGAGTAGGTAGAGAGAATGGCTTTGAAGAACAGATAGAACATCCACAGCCAAGGTAACAATTAGATAAATGAAGCTTGAGTCCAAATAAAAAAAATAATTTGAAAAAAAACATCTGAGAATTTCCCCACTCCACCACCATTCTCATGAAGATAAAAGAGGGAGGGAGGATGGCATATTCAGATTTGCAAGATTCTGTTGCTAAAGATGTTCGAATAAAAGTAGCTTAGAACTACCTGGTGTCTATTTCATAGTTTGGTGTACTTGGTAACATCTAGTGATATTAATATATCTCAGACACGTCCCTGGAGATCTCCAAAGAGGGATTGATGGCAAAAGTTGAAAACATTGGTCGTTATAAATTGAAAAGGTTGGGCTCACATGATACTTAAAGCCAGAATTAAACAAATCACATTAAAATTGAGTGCAGTTCATGAATAAAACAAAATTGGCTATTTGGAGGGATTAGATTAGACCTCTGCCTATCTAGCACATGTGCTTACATTTTGGTTATCAATTTAAGTTACAAATATTAACTAACAGTAAATTAGATACAAAAAGATTAATAGTTTAAAAAACTAGTGAAAGAGATGTCACTCAATTGATTTTCTAAAGAGAGCAAGTGGGGCCAAACACATATAACAGAATACAGAATAACAGTGCAAAACTGACATATAGTGCAGCACAATTTGATGATTTGATACAATGTATGATCACTGCAGTAAAGAAAGTAAATTGATTAATTAACAAGATTCTCAATTCTTAAGTAAAACAAGCATCAAGGGTCTAGCACCTAAGTGAGCTTATAAATCTGAGAATTTTGGAAACATCAGATAGTTTGCACAACAAAGAGAAAAATACTATTAAGTTCAATAAAGAAAATTGTAAAATCTCACCTCAATGGTGGAATCAGACAATTCACGAACAATGTCAATAATTAGATCTATTACAGGAATATTAAACTTAGTTAATCTTGACCAGCAAATCAGAAAATTGATGCCTATAAATAGTGCCCTATATCCTCATATTGTTATTGACAGATTGTTTTTTTTTCTCCAAGAAAGACTGGTGGGCTAGCACCGATTAAAGGTAAAATAAAGCTTAACGATTACATCAAGACAATAACAAAGCTTTATTGAATTAATCTCAGAAAGAAAGACTATTTGGGGAAATGGAATCTCAGTGACTATAAAAGGCAACAGCTTGAAATGAGGTTAGAAAATTGGAAAAGCAAAGCAATATCTTCCTTGAAAGTTATTGAAGGAAAATTAGACAACAGTAAAACACGACAATGGCTTAAGAATGAAGTATTTTAAAAAAGAAGTATTGTAGAAAGAATGCTTTATATTGCTCAAGAACAAGCATTAAGTACAAATGTTATTAAAACCAAAGTAGAAAAAAACAGTTTAGATAGTAAATGCTGGTTGTGCCAAGGAAGAAACCACTGACCATATAATAACTGGATGCCGAAGCTAATTACAAAAAAGGCATAGTTGAATTGAGAAGATATCACTGGCATTTTGGTCAAGAATACAAATTTACCTTTAATTAAAAATTGCTGGAAACATAAACTTGCAGATAACATCACTGAAAGTTGCAGGGCAAAAAAATTATGGTACTTGAAATTCAGACTGATCAATTCTTTGAACATAACGCACATTCCATTATTATCTTTGTAAAGAATCATTTTTGGTTTATTGATGTAGCCATTCCATGGTGCTGTAACTTTGAAGACAAGTGATGCCGTGTCCTCAGTGCCTGGAGGCTGTTAGGGGCTGGATGGGGAGCAATGGGTTGAAACTAAACCCTGGCAAGACCGAGTGGCTCTGGATTTGGGGTTCGTTGCCACCTTTGGTCTTGGATGGGGTGGCACTAACCCAAACAGACCCTGTGCGTAATCTGGGGGTTCTCCTGGACTCACGACTCCTGCTCAAAGAGCAGATGGCAGTCATGGCCAGGAGGGTCTTTGCGCAACTGCGGGTTGTGCACCAGTTATGCCCTTTCTTAGACCAACAGTCCCTACTCACAGTCACTCCTGCCCTAGTCACTTCCCATCTTGATTATTGCAACGCGTTCTACAGGGGGCTGCCCTTGGAAGAGCATCTGGAAGTTCCAGTTGGTGCAAAATGCAGCGGCCCACATGGTTTTGTGCAGACCCCGGTGTGTACAAGTTTCACCTCTCCTGCAGGAGCTGCAATGGTTGCCAAATTTGCTTCCGGGTGCAATTCAAGGTGCTGGTTGTCACCTTTAAAGCCCTTCATGGCTTGGGACCAGGTTATCTGAGGGACTGTCTCCTGCCGGTCACATGTACCTGATCCATCAGAGCGGGGAGGCAGGGAATGTTGCAGGTCCCATCCCCTAGGGAGATGCACCTGGTGGGACCCAGAAGAAGGACCTTCTCTGTGGTGGCTTCCTCTCTCTGGAACATCATTCCCCCAGAGATTAGAATGGTCCCCACTCTAATACTCTTTCAGAAGTCGCTGAAGACCTGGTTCTGCCAGCGGGCCTGGGGAACCCAGAGAGGAATGGAGCCCATTAAATGGCTTGTGTGATCTGCCGTCACCAGGGCAGGGGGTGATTTTATTATTATTTTATTATATTAATTTATTTGATTCTTTTTATTAGTTTTATTGTTTTAAATGTGCTTTTATAGTCTGTAAGCCACCCTGTCACCATGGGTGAATAGGTGGCAATATAAATTTAATAAATAAATAAAATAAAAAAATGCTAAGATTTGCAATGTAGATTGCAAAAATTAGGAACAAGTTAACAATGGTATCATTTATTGGAGTAGCTGGTGAAATATCATAAAGACTCGGAAATATTTTGGATTATCTAAACTTAGAATAACTTACAACAGACTGATCCCAACCAATAATACTGTTGGGCTCCTCATACACAGCCATTACCTTTACCATATCCAGACTTCAAATTACGAAGAAGGAACTATGATACATGATTAGTGGAATAAGAATAATGAGCCATCACTAGAAGCAGCTAAAAATAAGCTTTATTTGACTATAAAAAAATTCAGTGGGGCAATTTATTGGGCAATAGTTTTATTAGCCAATTCGAAGTCATGGTATAGTCTTCAGCTTCTTGTGGAGTTTGCTTGATCGGGACAGTAAAAAAATTACTCCGATTTTAAAGTTCACATTCAGTTACGATTTGGTTGAAGTTCAATTAGCTAGTTTGGTAAAAATCACCAAGCTAGAACCAGGAAACTGTGAGTTCTGGTCCTGTTAAGGCATGAGACATCTAGGTAATATTGGATCAATCGCTCTTCCTCAGCCCCTGCAAGGAAGCAATGCAAACCACTACCAAAAATATTGCTAATAATAGACATATCCAGGCAGCTGCCAGGAGTCACGACTGGCTTGAAGACATAGGATCTGAAATGGTTCAGGCCTGGACCAATGAAGAAGGCATGAAAAGGACTCTCACCTGCTACAATTTTGGAGGGAAGCCCAGCCACTCTGTTTGGTGTTAACAGCCTCTGATCTTCCGGAAACCAAGCCTCGTTCATAAGGTTTTTGACAGAAAAGTGGATCAGTTTCTGCCTCAGCTCGGAGATGGATAGGGCAGGGTTGGCATTCAATATCATGGCTGCAATACCTAGGACAACAAACAAGCCCTGTAATTTATCCCTCCAAAACACACACATGAAGGTGGATTAGATTATATATTTAACAGAACAGAATAGCAAAGTTGAAAGGGACCTTGGAGGCTTTCTAGTCCAACCCCCTGTTCAGGCAGGAAACAATGTAGAATTTCAGACAACTCTTGTCCAATCTCTTCTTTAAAAATTCCATTAAAAACCCACAACTTCTGGAGGCAATTCATTCCATGGATTAATTGTTCTGTCAGGAAATGTTATCAGGCCCGTTTGATTTAAAACACTGGAAACTTTCAGTCAAATAATTTTCTTTCCTGTTTCTGATTGTGAATGGAAAAGTGAATATGGTATTAAATTTATATATATAGAGAGAGAAAGAGGCCTATCCAGCAACATAAAAGTCCCTTTTCCATACTCAATTAAAAGATACACTAAATCCTAAATACCAGTTCAGTTTCTCATAAGTCAGCTTCATCAGGAGCTTAAACATGAAAATGATGTTCTGGAAATGAATGGAATCTAAAAAGGACTAAACTTACTTATCTCAATAATGGAATACATGCACTATTATTAAGTTGCCTCGTCTACAACAAAACAAGGGGAAATGCAGTCAAAGGTCTACACTTCTTTAAGCAATCCACTGGTGCCATAAAATATAGATGCAATGAAAATGTCCAAATTGTACCAGTTTAATTTGTACCAACAGTGGGTATTGCAAAGGTATGAATACTACGAATGCTTCGTTTTTGTAGCCCCTGGAGCTAACCAAGCTGATACAAACCACTGTGTCATTCTTTGCTCGTTTTAAATACTAAAATTAGTCTTTCAGATCTGATAGGCTTAATGCTTCAATTTTCCCTTCCCTGGCCCCAAATGCAAATAAACAATTCTGTCCATTTTTTCCACTTATATCAATGCATTGCTTCATGTACTGTTCTATATATTTGAATTTTGCAAATCTGAGAGTGTATTTGAAATAAAAATGGGGGGGGGAAGGCTTTCTTTCATTATTGAAAATCTCATCGTGCTTAAAGTCACTTAACAGGGCATGCCTTATTGATAGTTCATCTTGAGAAAACCTCATTATAATAAACAAGAACTTGCTAGACTCTTCATATTTCTGTCCTACAATATTACCTGCGACATGGGCAGCTGCTTGGGATGTCCCACTCTGCGATGTGAAGCAGGTGCTGCAGTCACTAGAGGCACTAATGATATCATCTCCAGGAGCAAACACATCTACACAACGTCCAAAGTTGGTTCCCAAAGTCCCCATAGATACAGGCTGGTCTTGGGCATTGGTTGCTCCCACTGTAATAACCTATGGTAAGACAGCATCTTGTCAGTCCTGAGCAAGCAGGAGAAACAGAATTTCAAAATCAGAGGTGGATCAATGAACAAACAGGTTTCTTCCGTTCTGTGTCTGGATCCAGCAGAGAAATACTTTTGGGGAAAGCGATGAGAAGATGTTCTTCACCAGTTCTTCCTCCTTTTGTCATTCTTCATACCGCTCTAGTAGCTTCTCAAAGGCTTTTAGAGCATTTTGTTCAAGAAATGTTGAAGGAAGGAGAGTTCACAAAGATTGCTTCCTTGTCCTCTCCCTCTAGCTCCAACACAGAGTATTATTCTTGCTCTATATTTAGAGGGAGATTTGCTGGCCATTTAGCTTAAATCTATTCAATGCAATAAATTAAAAAATTAAAATCCTTTGCAAATGATTCTTTAGTCCATGTTTTTCCACTGAGAGAGACCCTCCCTCCAAATGTAATTGATTTTCTTGACTGAGCTGATCAGAGGTTTTGTGACGCAGGAAAATGTCACATGGAAATACCAAAAATATGGTGCAATTATTGTTTCATGTTTTTCTATTCTGTCAAAATCTGGTTTTTCTAAAATACCTCCTAGATAATTTTTCAGTAAGCCTTCCTCTTTAGATGACTCCTGAGAGGGCTATCAAATAAAAAAGAGAACTAAATAAATGGACTTAGATTAAGTCTATCTTCCCATCTGTCTCACTACTATCAGGAGCCACTTTCCAGAAATTCCACATGTATTTGGAAAAAGCTCTTGACTCAAATTCTATTGTCAAATATTGAGCAGGAAAAGTATCTTGACATCATGAAATTAAAACTCTCCCCCTAAACAAAGTCATACAAGTCAAATTCCCACATGAATACTATCTAAGCCTGATCTTACTGTCTGCTATTATGAAAAGAGATGGATGTTTTTAATTCTATTGAGGTTTCAAGTATCAGACTGGTTCTTCATTGCCCTGATATTAAGCTTGGACAACTCCACACAATGCAAATATCTGTATCACACAACGGCCTATGTTTTATGGCATATTGGAGGAATTGTCAATAAAACTCCATCATACCACATTAAAAGAAAGTTCAAGAGACTGTGGGGCCAAATATTTTTATTTATTTTTATTTTTATTTATTTGATTTGTCAATTGCTTACAAGATAATAGGTATAAGTATAAACATAGTTTTGAATAGATGGATACATATAAGAAAATAAAAAGAAACAATAGGACAGGGATGGTAGGCACTTTGGTGCACTTATGCACGCCCCCTACAGACCTCTTAAGAAAGGGGTGAGGTCCTATAGGCTAGCTATGTTTTTTTATTGTGTGTCTATGTAATATAATCGCATGTACCACCACCAAACCCACAACAGAATCACTCCATCGGGATATTTAGATACCTAGAGAATGGGCTATGTGAGAGACCAGTATCTTGGTGACATCTAAGCATCCAGGAGACCTGATTCACACCATCTAAACAGTTAAGAGGATGGCATGGGTGAAGCTTCACAATCTTCCTCAACTTCCCATATTATAAATGAGTAGGGACATTATTGTGGCAACTGAAAAACATGTAAAGCAGTGAGGTAACTGGCTAATCTTGAGCTGAACTGGACTTTTATTAGAGCAGAGGTGAGCAACTATGGCAACTTTATAGCCTGTGGACTTCAAAGTTGAAGTCCACAGTCGTAACATTGTCCTAATTGCCCACCCCTGAGTTAGAGGGATTACAAACCATTTCTGGACCATTTTTCCATGGGTTTTGGGCTGAAAGGAAGACCTTGTTGTCTACTTACCTCTGGCTCTGATGCTGGGGAGTACAGACAAGCATCATCTTTGTAGTTGCCTGCTGCAGCTATCATGACTACCCCCTTCTGCACCATCTGACGACAAGCGGCATTCAGGATGCGACTATAGGTGCCAGCCAAGGGGAGCAAAACAACCAGGGGACTGTAGGGCTGGACAGCCAGGGTCTTTGCAATGAATTCCAGCCCTATACGGCAAAGGGTAAAGGGCAAAGGATTAGTGACACTGCGTACCTTTTACCCAATGCAATCTCCAAAATTTAAAGACACAAACAGGAAGAACGTACCGGCTCTTCTTTTAAAAAAAAGTGTTTTTTAGGAGTGAGATGCAGGGGAAAAACAGAAAGCCCTCAAACAAGTCACCTAAAACTGAAAAATAATTTATTTTTCCACTTTTAAATTAGTAAAAATAAATTGAACTCTGCATCGTAAACCTTAACCAGATATATGCATGCATTTATGAAAAGATAAAGAATAAGCACATTTAATTTTTGAAATTTTGGACTCAGATGTATTCAGAATTTAATAATTCTAAAATCAGCCGAAAGTATTTTCCCATTTTTTCCTTCTCTGATCTTTAACCACAACGCCCAACAAAGAATTTTGATAAACTCAAAATCAACAATTATTTTAAAACCTTGCTTGACTCAACAAAGGTATTAAAGCCATTAACCCTTTCTAATTGAACATGATGCCTATTCACATAATATATTGTCCTATAATTTGATCCCTTAAGAAATGCAACACTGACCCTTCTGGATATCCCTGTTTTTTTCCCTAATATGTAGAGGCCAGAGCTATAAGCCATTGATGTAGAGTGAAGGGGTGTGTGTGTGTGTGTGTGTGTGTGTATACACAAATACATATACATATATGTTCTAAAAATACAAGTTCCAGGTATGCAGTAGGAGCAGAGACCAATGGCACACGCCCACCCCTGGGCTTGTGGATTCATCCTATGAAGGCACAGCCAGGCCTGATCAAATACAGAGGAGCCCAGCAGAGCTGCTTCAAGCTATAGAGAAGAATAATGAAGAACGAGCCGGGCCAACCACAAGGTCACGGGCAAAGCAACAAATTGCAATAGCTGACAGGTTAACATCTTTCAGAAATAAGCAATCCAAGCTGGAAACCAACATGACTGAAGCAAAAACAACAGAGTTAATTACAGGTGGCAGGCAGTTGGAAGGGCCTATTAAGCGTGCAAGGGCTAAATTGATTAATGATATATAAAGGCATAGATCTCTGTAATGGTAGTTCAGTACTCTGACGACCTCAGCAGAGTCTGACGAAAGCTTAGTAAGTATAATAAATATAATTTTAGTTCCAGAGATAGCAGGATGTCTGTTTCTTCTCTTACGTGTGTGTATGTGTGTGTGTAAAACATTGATATTAAACCAATATTCAGACAAAATGGATATTAAGAATAATATATAGAAATATATTATGTAACATTCTTTCCAAAAATACATAGCAAATAAAATTGAGAGGAATGCTCATAACAACCTATGACAAATTGCAAATCCATATAAAAATGATTGAACCCTCACTTGCCTCTACTCACCAATCAGTGTGCCGCTTACGGTGCCTTTTCCTTGGCAGTTGAGCACCCGCAGACTGCGGACATTGGCCCCTTTGGCAACTCCAGCATCCCTTCCGTTCACCACACCTGCCATGTGGGTCCCATGGCTGTCACACTTACTGGCCTTCCATGGAGCATAACAACAAAAGTTTTGTACTTATTGCAAGCCCAATAATAATAATGTATACATCAAATAGCGCTCAAAGCAACACACGACTAGAAAAATCAAACGCGAACCAGAGCTTTAATTATAGGTAGTAATGAAAAGGATTTTAAGACTCATCAATTGGGTATTCTCGCCCAATGTGTCAGTCTCCAAGAGGAGCAAGCACTTCTGCATTCTCAGTGGAGAGAGATGCCAAAGCAACAGAAGATTTCGAAGTCTTCGGGAGGAAAAGAGACAGCTACAGGTTGTCCTCAACTTGCAATCCAATGGAGCCCAAGATTTTTGTTGTTAAGTGAAACATTTGTTAAGTGAGTTCTGTCCCATTTTGCGATGCAATGAACCTAAGTGTGAAAAATGGTCCTAAGTCCTTTTTTTCAGTGCCGTTGTAACTTTGAACAGTCACTAAATGAAAAGTTATAATTTGAAGACTACCTGTATAGTCAACTCTACCCATCACCCATTTCCCAAATGATTCACTTTTACCAGCATATTCTAATGAAGGAATAAAACTCATCATAGATGTAATTAGAAGCACTGGATCCAGGAAGGCACCATCATAGATATTTGATCCAACACCTTTCCATGAAATGCTCCAAAGAGTTACAAATTATGTTTCTTGCAGCTGATTGGGTTTTAACTCTAACTATAAAAGTAGAACCTAGTCAAACCTTATGAACCAGATGTTCCAGAATGTGATGGAATATAGTGAGGAGAGAAGCGAGGGAGGCATTGCAGAGAAGAGGTAACTCGGTCCAGATGTTATGTGTGAGAGAAAGAGGGCGAAGACAACCCTTCCCCAATAGTTCACAGACTATACTATAGAAAGTAGAGTCTTGGCAAGGTTTTGTCTACAGATGTGAAGAATTGCCATGTGTTATTCTTGGTTTGGGCCTGACACAGGTGTACTGAAATTACCATTTCCAGAATCTCTTGCCTCCAGAAAGAAAAGTATCTACCTGGCGGTGAAAGCGAGTGCCATCTTCTTCAGGGACATTCTCAAACTCAGTCACAAATATTTTGCCTTCTATTTCCCGATGGGTGCTCTGGACACCAGTATCCAGCAGATAAACCTCAACCAGTTCACCAGCATCTATAGAGAGAATCAATAATACCAGAAGGATGTGTCCATTGCTTTTGACAGAGGGTCCCCCTACCTGCTTCTGAAAAAATGTGCAAAAGATAAAGGAATAGCTTACTGGGGGGATTATACTCATTCAGCATGTCCTGTTCTGGGACAATCCGGCCAAGATTCCAAGGAATGCTTTGAGCAAACACGTAAGAGTCTTCTTCTATGTAATCCACATGTGGGAGTTTCAAAGCCTGCACAAAAGAACCAGAGGAAAGTATTGTAGCACAGGCAACAGGGCCCCCAAATTCTTTTTGCAAAAAATTACATAAATTGTGCAAAAAAGCATCTTATGCATGCATCTGTTTTATCACACTATAAAGCAACTTGTCCCAGATAGGTTTACTCTATGGAGAGCAATCACAAATACAGTACCAGTAAATGGCAGGTACTTCTGCTATATATTTTGCAGTATATGTTTCAACCCAGCATGTAAAGCTTGTTTGGCATTACAAGAACCACACAAGAATTTAAAGGACGAATCTGAGAATTGAGCCCTCATTCACCCAATCCACGCTGGCTCAGGAATTCTGGGAGGTGAAATACACAGGTCATACAGGGGCTATAGTTGCCCAGCCCTGATCCAATCTATTTAATATATAGCTATCAATATGCTTTGTGTTGTATACTCTATACTGGAGGTTCACAATGTGGGTCATATGCCTTCCCACCCCTCTGGAGGGCCATATACCTTATTTACATACATACAGAGAGAGAAAGAGAGGGAGGGAGGGAGGGAGAGAGAGAGAGAGAGAAGAGAGAGGACATGCAGACAGATATCTGCCACAAGCATAGTGCATTGTATTTTCAATATTCTGTCTTTAGAATGCAGAAGCAAACAATTTAAGGAATGCAGAAGCAAACAATTTAAGGATTAAGAATGCTAAATTGAGTTCAATGGATAGTTAGATAGAGCAAAAGTAAAATATTCCCAGTAATTCCTCGAAATAAAACAAACAAACAACACCAAATTCTTTGCATTACAGAAAAATCTTCATTATGAGGTACATTATTGTAGTCAAATTGTTTTTGATGGGAATTGTCTAGGTTCACATTTGGTTTTACGGATAATCTTCCCAAAAGGATCCACAACAGTCACTGAGGGTCACTTAATTAGTATTTTATAGATTGGTTTAAAATTATTGGCCACACACCTCCAGTGGTCTTTTGCTTTCCCTTTCTGCATAATCTAACTGTCAACATCCCTTTTCCCCTTTCCTATCTTTTCCGCATAGAATTAAATGCATTGAAGGTCTTAAAAATCTAATGAAATGAGAAAATGTCTGCTTCAGGTGATGGGAGTTGTAATCCAGAAGGTTAAAGTTTGGCTCTACACCATTGTCTCAACATGGAGAAAGTTGCTTTGTAGTAAATAGAAAATCTCAGTAAAGTTTGCCTTCCCCAATGAATCATTTATTTCACTTAAAAAGTTTTCCCCAAGAAGGTTCCTCTGAGTGGGCTGGATTTTCATTCTCAAAATTCCCAGTAAGCCAGATCAAGGTTAGGGAAGGCCATCCTCAAATGTGGTACATGAGAGCATCTACTTCAGGCCACTGTGCTGTTGCACAAGTCTTCTGATCACATTTGTGTATGAAGCAACCTGGCACCCATTTGGCATCCGGGAAGCATTAACCAAACACCCCTCCTCACCCTGCTTCCTGGGTCTTGCATCATTATCTGAAACTTTTGAAATGTTTGCACGGAATCAGCAATTGCTTAAAAAGCTCCCTGATTTTCAAGCTGCAAACCAAAGAGCAAAGGTCTTGCAAAATGCCTCCCCTATCCATTTCTGTGGGAATAAATGGGAACAGGAAAGATTCACAACCGAGATTGCGAGATAGCTACACAGGACATGGATGCTGGCAGGAATTATGTGGTTTGAGTGGCACTATGTCTATCACTAGGCAAGCAAGTCACTCCTAAAAACAATCCCTCTCAAAAAATCTGGATACAGCCTCATGATAGCGTAATCCAGCAAGATTTGCCACAACCAAACACAGGTCCACTATGCAAATTACCTGTCCCTAACCTTTACATAAAAGCATACTTTAATCATATACTGCCGTTTTTGCAAACATGGGTTCAAGCCATAAAGATATGGTAACTATTGACATCTGTCCTTTATCCATAATGGGTCTGTGAATATTCAGAAAATAAGAAGCATTATCATTATACAAAACAATTTACCAAAGCATATAGGTTTACAACCTGAAAAATATCTACTTTACAATGTTTTTCTATAGAAAAAAACCCTTTTGAGAAATGCAAATAATCAAAAACCAATTACTAATATAAAGAAACAAAGATTGGACACAATTCCATTCAAAATGGTGAGGTGCAAATTTGTAGCTAAATTTCTCAGTGAACTATCTGTGTAAAGTATGTGTTTACATGCCCTGTGTGTGATCGTAGATAAGAATAATCTCATGGCAGTCTTTGAGAATTCTAAAATTAATATGTCAACAATCCCAACTCAGAGTGTGCTCTGGTTCTTAAGGCGAAGTAACTATGCATTACTGCATTATCATAGCTTAAGCAATTTGCCAAAATACAACTCACTTCCAAGTAAGATTTTAAATCAGCTGGAATGCTATATTCAGTAACTGTACTATGTTGGTTTTTTTGCTGAATAAAATACTGAGCTTTGTCACTTCTGAAAATAAAAAAAATTCAGATAAGGTTATCTCCCATGGCAAGTACACCTAGCCAACCTTTACTAACCTGTGGTGAGTACCTGAATGGAAGACTACTAAGAAATACCATGACTGGGAAGAAGATAACAACTATTATCACCAAAAAAATGATGTGGGCCTGTCTCTATAATCTCTAGAAGTCACTTCAAGAGAATCTTTAGTTAAGATTAGCACAGGTAATTTTTTCATTGATGAGGATGGATTAAATATAAATAAAGCCTCTATTTATGACATGCTTCCTAAGTGGAATGCTTTCCACATGTATTCAACATTATCTCAAGCCAGCAAGCACACACAAATACACATACAGATAGATAGACACAGACAAAGACAGACATCTTCTGTAAATATAGTAAAATTAATTATTTGCAATGAAGACTTGCACTAGATCGTCCCAAATGATGAACGAATTCTGATTTGGAATCTGGTGAAACAAAGCAACTAACAGAAAGATATTCCTCCCATGTAGAATAAAATTATTACGTAAATAACAGGTAATATATTTTAATTTATAGCAAACATTCCCAATAAATGGGTTAAATCACAATATTGCCAGGTTTGTTGTTTATAGATTCAGTTGCTATTCAGACAGTTGTGTTAATAACTGGGAAGACATAGTTTGATATCAGGAGCATCTGCAGGGTATGGTCACAAAAGTCAAGATGGCTGCCATAATAGCTTGATCAAACTCCTGCCCACTGTATATAGGTAGTCCTCAACTCATGCCTGTAATTCAGCCTGGAGTTAGTCATAAATCATGCCACTTATTAAGTAGATCAACACATGGCTGACCTGATTTTATTGTGGAGCCCGAAATTGGCACAAATGTAGCCATTTTATTTAGCTCTATATTCTCATCACATTTTCTTTTTCCTTCTTTCTCTTTGTTGGTATAAAGGGGTAGGATTTTGGGCTCGCCGCATTCTTAAGGTGGGAGGAGTGGTTAGATAGTGAGGATTGTTTTGGCTAGGTGACTTTCCTTCCCGTGGGAACAGAAACTGTCCCTGCTGAGACCTGGAGGTAGAGATTGAAGACACCGAGCAACGTTGATTTAATTCTATTGGGGAATGTGACTTTTGTGGGTTGTTTCTAATTTACAATATTATGTGGTGTAATTCTGATTTGTGTCAGATCCGGAATTACAACAGACTTTGCCAGTTTGATGCTTTACCTGAATAAAAGAAATTTGTTCTGGAAGATGGACTTTGCTTATTTCTTTTTGGATGGGTTTTACCACTTGGAAACCTGGCATTATTCCGAAACCTGACATTCATGACATTTTTTAATGGCAGTCCCAAAAATGAGCACCACTGTTGCTAAGCAAATCTATTGTCCGCAATGGAAGATTTTTGCCAGAATCACACACAGGAAAATTGTAGAGCCAAGACTTGGTCAGGATTGGGGCTCAGAGAATGCTAGCCTGACTGAGCAGCCTCAGCTGGGTCCATTGGACCAGGGACAGGCTGAGGCTAAGGCTGAGGGAGGCGAGCTGCAGCAAGTTGGCCAGGAGGCTCCATGCAAGGACCGGAAGCAGCTGCCACCCCTTAGCAATGAGGAGGAGGTGCAATCCACACTTCCTCCTGATCCAAGGACACATAGAGCAGAGAGGAGACAGACACAACTCAGTCAGCCTGACTACTCATGAGGAGGCAACCTCACCTCTCATGAAGGGGCTGCACCGGCATTGCCTACTTTACTCCGCCCTGAGGACTTGGGTGTTGCTGGAGCAACATGCCCAGTTACATGCTTTGTGTGCTTGTGCCTTGTTTCCTGGCCTGTTTGATTCCTGGCCTGCTTTCCTAGACTTTGTGTATGTGACCATTGGACTCCATTGCCCAGTGACTCTTGCTATACTGAGCTTGGCATCCGGATCTGCGCAACATGTGTGCTTTTCAAGAACCTGTTTCAGGGCTTTGAATAACCACCTATAGAACTCTTGCCATACTCTTATGTGTAGGGAATGGGGCAGCACAATATCAGTTTCCAGCAAACAAAATCATAAATCACATTGCAAACAGCCATAAATGTTGTTTTGGGTTGCTTAGCACACAAAATATAATCACATGACTGCAGGGAGTGGGTTTCCTTTGGAACTTCAAATCTGGGTCATAAATAACTTTTTGGGGGTCTGTCATAACTTCAAATGATTACTAAGCAACCAGACATTAAGCGACGATTACATATATGTATACCGCCCATTTTTTTATGTGCAAACTCCCATGTTTAACTGGCAAATTAGCAAGTGGACAATCAAGTTAGAACTGAACTTACCATATGCAGCACATCGCTGCTCATCTTGACAACAAAGCCTTGGATTAGTTCATCAAAGATATGCAGAATTTTGGTCATGTAGCCATGCTTGGCTGCTCTGGCTTGCAAACGCTTGGCAGTTTGTAGGGCTTGGGATTTAAGGGTTTCCTCCTTGAGCACCACAATATAATGTCCAGATAAGCGCCATGACTCCTGGGTTTAGACAAAAAGAAGAGAGCAATCAAGCTTGGAAGACACAAAAATCTCTGTTGGTAAAATGCAGTAATTAAGTGGGGTGCATTGATTTAAATATGCTCTTCCAAATAGGTTGAATTTCAAGTCCCATAATCCCTTGGTTGGTCGTTTTAGGGCAGAGGTCTCGACACTTGGCAACTTAGCTGGCTGGAGAATTCTGGGAGTTGAAGACCACTAGTCTTAAAGTTGCCAAATTTGGGAACCCCTGTTTTAGGGGAAGGATTATGGAAGTTGAAGTACACTTCAGTTGTACTAGTTATAACTAGAAATTTATAAAGAAAAATGACATTTTACTCCCTTTGTTTGTGAACAAAATTACTGATGCTAAATTACATGGTCTGGGTCACTTCCACTCCTGAATGAATGAAACAGCCAGAAAAGTCATTCTAGAGCTGGGGTCCCTAACCCCCAATCTGTGGACCGGCACTAGTGCATGGCATGCCAAAAACCAGGCCACACAAACAAGTGAAGCCCCATCCATGGGGTAAAGGCAGCACATGAAACTACACACACACACACACACACACACACAAGGTCCACAGAAAAACCTCTCTCCATGAAACCGGTCCCTGGTGCCCAAGAGGTTGGGGGGCCACTGTTTTAGAGAAACTGTTTCTTTTCAAGAATTTCTATGCAATGTAATCTTACTCATCAACACTATGACACTCCATACTCATTTTTGGTAAAGAAGAAACCAGGGATTTGGTTTCATATCCATAAAATGGATATGAAATTATTCGTATCCATAAAACTGTAGCTGAATCAAGATAGTATTCCAATCCCACACTATTCCTAATTATGCCCTGGATATTGTATATTCACTTCTCTGCTAATTTGTTTTGAGAAATGCATCATTTTCTTCAAATAACACATTCATCAACTGCTATCCTGGCTTAACTTTCCTTCTGTTTAATTATATAATCCTTCAATTAGTTTTGTTTATGAAAATAGGGTTATTTGCAAACCTTGAAGAAACTCAAGGGAGGAAAATCAAACAATGCTGCTTTGGCACTGCTGATGAGAGAAGAAACTATTTGGCAATTTTCAAATACTCCACCCATGTCAACTGAAGGGACAAGTCTTGGATAAGGCTGGGGTGATGGAGATGGGTTTTTATCCTTGACTAAACTGGCTTGACAAGATTGTAGCCATCAATCAAAACTCATTCTGTTTTTGTACAAGTGGATTTGCCCATCAGCTGATAATTGGGAAGGTTTTAGATCCAGCTTAGTCCTCTCGCAAAAGATTCCTAAATCTCTATTCAAAAGGAGCAGAACAGGAGTTTCATGCTATTCTAGAAGAGTTCTAAAGTCATGCTTAAAAGCAGTTCAAGCAACAACAAATAGCAACTGTGCCAGGGAGTATCAAAGAGACAGCTCTCTTTTCCACCTCACCTCACAACTCATCCCCAGCATGGTTGATTAAATGCTGTTCAAACTTATTCAGGTCTCATAGGTAGGACTCAGCTCAAGAGACCTGGCAGATACAGAGAGGGAGCCCACCTAAAAATATGACTCTCTTACAGCCAAAACAAGAACAGCCCTACAATCCCAATTTTCCTTTGAAATGTTTGATTAACCTGGCAGATTTTGCACAATTTATGGTTCCTTTAATGTTGGAATAAGTGGGAAATACTTTAACATGATATCACACAGGGCAGCTTAAGCCTCATGGGTCAGAGGCAAGGTGAAGACAAAAAAAAGTCATTGTCAGATGCATTTGTGCCATTGTTTGGTGTAAAAGAAAAAATGTCCTCCATCTCAAAGAGATAAAATACCTGTGAATCTAGAAACCCCACTGTTACTTGCTTGCCTGCCCTCTTCAGTTAATATCCTTGATCCAATCCTGAACTAGAACTCTAGGATCCTGTAAAGCATCAGCTAAAATTCCTTTGGTGTGTTTTGAAGCAATTAAGCAACTTAGTCTCCATCCCATGTCATTATTTTAGTCTTTCTCTGGCTGGCTGGTGCAACCAGTGCATAGGAATCAAATACTCAGAATAAATACATTCCAACCAAACAAGAAAGGTTCAGAAGTGCCTTAAGACAAATCAAATGAACATAATGCTATATTGTTGATACTTGTTCTTCTGCTCAAATGACTGTACTTCCTGGATCAAACAGCTTAACTCATATGCCTGAGAACCTTTTTAATTAAGGATTGCCCAAGAATTCTTAACATAACGCAGGGATTTTTTCAGAAGTTTTGGGTTCTTTAAGCAGGGTGCTAGTCACACACTTGTTGGAAAACAACTAGGAAGTGATAGTTACTCACTCCCAACTCTTGCCCACAAAGACCAATCTCTTTATGCTGCATCACCTGTAAAGTCATGGAATCAATAATGAACCAATCCATTATCCTCCACTTAGAGACAAACAACCTACTCTCTAATAAACAATTTGGTTTCAGAAAAAAACTATCCTGCAATCTGCAACTCTTACAGTGCAAAAACATATGGACTACACAACTCGATCAGGGCAAAGCAATAGACACAATCTACATAGACTTCGGTAAAGCCTTTGATTCAGTGGTACATGACAAACTACTCCTAAAACTAAAATCTTATGGTATCTCTGGACACCTGCATAACTGGATAGAAGCATTCCTGTCAAACAGACAACAAATTGTCAAAATTGGGAGCATCCTATCAAATTCTGTAATCTGTCAACAGTGGTGTCCCCCAAGGCAGCATTCTAGGACCAACTCTCTTCATACTCTACATAAATGACCTCTGTGATCATATTAAGAGCAACTGTGTTCTCTTCGCTGACGATGTAAAGCTATTCCACACCACAGACAATACTGCTACCCTTCAAAAAGACCTCGACTATATATCAGAATGGTCAAACAAATGGCAACTTCAAATCTCAACAAATAAATGCTCTGTCTTACATATTGGCAAAAAAAAAATCAGAAAATAAAATGCAGGCTGAATAGTCAAGACCTTGTTGATGATCCAAACTCTGTCAAGGATCTTGGAGTACTCATCTCTAATGATCTAAGTGCTAGAGCCCACTGTAACTACATAGCCAAAAAGGCATTAAGAGTTGTTAACCTAATCTTATGTAGCTTTTTCTCTGGTAATATTACACTACTAACTAGAGCATACAAAACATTTGCTAGACCAATACTTGAATACAGCTCATCAGTCTGGAACCCACATTATGTATCTGATATTAACACAGTTGAGAAAGTTCAGAAATATTTCACAAGAAGAATTCTCCACTCCTCTACTCGTTGCAGAATACCTTATGCCACCAGACTTGAAATTCTAGACCTAGAAAACCTAGAACTAGGCCGCCTTCAGTCTGATCTTAGTATATAAAATCATACATTGCAATGTCCTACCTGTCAATTAATACTTCAGCTTCAATCATAATACAAAAGCAAACAGATAAAAACTCAATGTTAATCACACCAGACTTGATTACAGGAAATACGACTTCAGCAACAGAGTGGTCAATGTCTGGAATGCTCTACCTGACTCTGTGGTTTCTTCCACAAACCCCAAAAACTTTAACCTTAGACTTTCTACTATTGACCTCACCTCTTTCCTAAGAGGTCTGTAGCGGGCGTGCATAAGCACACCAACGTGCCTACCGTCCCTGTCCTATTGTTTCTTTTATATATTTTTTATTTTTCTTATATGTATCCATGTATTCATAACTATGTTTTTACTTATACCTATTATCTTGTAAGCAATTGACAAACCAAATAAAATAAAATAAATTCTCGGCAAGGAAAGGTTATGGGAGTGTTACCGCATCACACCAACTGGGGAGAGCTGCCTTAGGGTCACACACAGTCAAAATGACTGATGTTTGGCCAATTTTCCAAAATGAAAGTTTTTCTTGCTGCGCAGAACATCACATTACAGTACTGCTGTTCTTTTTTTCTAAAAATCCTCCAAGGAAGCTTTATTGTTTCATAAAGCATAATGGCAACATAGTTTATATTATTTGTTCACCAGCAACTTATTAGTATGGTCATCCAACCTTTTCTATATCAGAATAGAGCTGAATGGGGTTAAGAAGATGCTGTAAATCACTGATGAGTCGCTAGTTATAGTCACATATCCAAACAATTTTTTATAGAGAAAATAAAATGATCTTGTATTACGCTCTCCTAGCATTGCTAGATTTAGGCATGAGCTACACTTGGGAACGGAAAGTCTGAAGGAACCTCTCAAAAAATCTCAGATTTTTTAACATTTAATTTATTACAATTTTATGTCCAAGTTAAGCTTCCTATATGGCATACATGATCCACGTGGATTAATTATTTAAGATTGTCTTTGTTTCTGTATGTATTCAGAAAGAGCCTTTCTTCATTCCATCATCGGTTTGTTGTGCATCTTCATAGCATTTCTGCCTTATTACACAGCCTTATTCTCTGTTACTTCTACATTTCCCATAACGTAGGGGCTTCGCCATCTCTAAATCAAGTCCTGCCTATCATTTTCCTATGGTGCAAGCCTTTCAAGGCAGATCAGACAAGGACGACATATTTATGAATGGTAATACTACTTTATTACAAGGTTATAGTAACCAATTCTGGTAAAGTTTGAATGTGCTTCTCTTCCTCTTCCTTTATCTTCATGGTCATGCCTGAGATGCTTACTCAGGTTACATTTCTGCTCTGGACTCAGATTCTTTTATCTGAACATAACCTGGATTGTCCTTCTCTTCCTCCTGTTCTTCAAGGTAATTCCTACTCCCATTATAAGTGATTACTAAAATCACAATGGAGAGAGTGTGTACTTTCTGATCCATCCACCCATCACTTCAATTCTCATCGTGCTTTCCATCAGGGGTCCGAATATGGCCACAGAATGCCCCAGGCAAGGGAGAATACCTAGTCCACCTGAGGAAACCCAAGGTTCAAACCAATGTAAAAACAGACAGAGGACACCTGCCATGGTACTGTTGCTAGTACTGTCCTAGTGATCTTTCCTGGGAGGCTGTTTAAAATACCAGATCCTTGTTCTGGAGCAAGCTAAGCAGACTGCAGTGAAAGATTGCCCAGAGACGCGATGGGGTGGCATTTATAGTGAGGAGTTTCAAGGCAAAGAAACAGCTTCCAAAATTTCTCTTCTGGAATTGACCCAGCTGAACCTAAAGAAATCCCAAGTCAGCGGAATCAGGAGATTTCAGAAGGGTTGCAATATTAACCACTGCCCCACATCTGTCTTCTCCCTTCCCTTTTTTTCTTCTTTATGACATTTAAGGAGGGCAATCCCTCGATCTTCCCCTACAGCCTGCCTCCCTAGAAGAAGACCCTGGGCGTTTTCCGAGGGAAGCGGTCATAACGGGGCGGCTTGAGATCACCAGACCGTTGCCCCCCCCCCCCCCCCCCCCGCAGATGCATTTCCTCATTAAGCAGCGTCCTCTATTGTGGCATCCATGTTTGGACGCGGCTACCCGACGGTTATAAACCGCGGATAACAACACGGTCCAAAGCCGCCCGCCGAGACTCCTCGCGTCCGCACAGCAAACGCTGAGTTTAAGCTCCCTTGCTCGAGCGATGCGATCGCAACCGGTAGCAGCGCCGCTTCTTTCCAAACCGCCACCAGGAGTTTACTCGGGCACCGGGAACGTGCATCCTCCCACTCGCCTCTGGAGCCCCGCGGGGGGCAAAGGAGGAAGAGCCCCAACCCCGAGGTGGGGGAGCTCCACGCGCCTCAAAGTCCCCCTTCCTTTCGCCGCCACCTTTTCGCCTCTCCCCGCCCCCCCCCCCCCCCGCCTCACCTTATTGCTCCGGTAGAAAGCTGCGGGGGAGCTTCGGTGCCTGGCGAATTCGGCCAAGTTCTCCTCCTCCTCGAAAGCGAAGGAGAGCATCAGGTCTTCGCTTTCGTCCGCCTCGTAGTAAGCAGCGGCGGCCGGCGGAGCTGACCAAGCGAGCGCGCCGACGAGCAGCAGCAACCGCGAAGCGCGCCAAAAGCCGCGGCTGCCCATCGCGCCGCGCTTTTTGCAAAGCAAGCCTTTTGGGAGCGCGGGAAAGCCGCAACGCCGGCCTAGAGAGCCAAGCCGAGAGGGAGAAATAATCCCTCACCGAGCGTAGCCGGGAAAAAGGGCGCCCAACAGAACCAGGACCGCCTCGGCTTCGAGGCGAGCCTGTTTTGGGGGACCTGGGACTGCGCTACCGATTTGAGTTCATAAACTGCCCTTCGCGACGTGGGTCGCTCGGAAGTAGCAAACGCTAACTGACCATCCCAGCGAGTGCGCACAGTCACACGAGCAGCAACTCGGCTTTCTTTCGCTTTCCCTCCCCCTCCCTCACCCGGCCCAGATGTTCGTGTGCTCCTCTAAATCTTTGGGGCGGGGATGTGCCGAATCACGCCACCGTTTTCCCATCGGACCATCCTATCTTGTTAAACATTAATTGGAGTTTTTCTCATCCATTGAAATTAAGTTTCTGCCCCCTTTTTTGTGGTTTACCTGGCGTCGTATGACAGGGATTTATTTTCTTTTTTCTTTTTTTAAATTCCCCAACGAGACAAATGCCCGTATTTCTATGCCTGAACATGATTAGAAAATTATGCCTGGAAGCCAAGCTGCCTCTTCTGCAGAAAGTACTTTGAGAGTGTTTTGTATGCTTCCAACGGGCATCGCATTTTTGTGAACCTTACAACTCGCACCGAGGCTAAAAGTCACCGTTGCGTTAAGTAAATATTTGACCCTCAGACAAAGTGGAGGTCTCCGTCAGTATAACGAACGACAAGTAACAAATGATTCGGGCTTCTGGACCAGGAGAACCGGGAACTGGGCTGAGAACTTTGTGCAGGTAACAAAGCCTTGTTCCTGAGCTTTGTAGCTCTTTTGAAGGGCACTATTTTAACTTGTGTAATTCATCACCGACATATACTTCCCTTTGAATTCCTGTATTAAACAAGGAGTTGAACTAATTGTCCCTACCTAAATTTGATGTAGATAGCCCAACCCTACACACCTTTAAATGGGATAATGGCATCTATAAAAGAGGATAAACTAATAAATGACTTCCTTGAGTATACAAAAAATCCCCACAACACTGCTAGGCATATTTCAGTTTATATAAATTCTAACAATACTCAGCCCCATTAGTTAAATTAACTGCTTCATCACTGGAGGTTTTTAAAAAGAGAGTGGACAGTCACTTGCCTGAAATGGTATAGGACCTCCTGTTTGCACAGATGGTTAAACTACCTACAAGGCCTGTTTCATTCTGACTGATTGACTTAAAGAGGTTTTAATTTTTTTTTTTTTTTAAAAAAAAAACACCATTTGCTCAAACCAACTACCACTGTAATGTTAAAAAAGTCAGTATTGCATGCCGGCAATGTCTTGGATTTGCAGATCCAGGTTCAAATTTGCACTAAATACAAGGTGCAATGAATAATCTCGGCCTATTTTATATCATAAAGTTCATGATGGGATGACACGATATGCCACCTTGGACTCTCAAGAGAAAGGGTGGAATAAATGGAACAACAAATATATTAAATAAAGAAATAGCAAACGAAACGGAAAACAAGTCTAAAGCTAATCTGTAACTTATCTTAGAGGTTTTGATGCATTTATTTTTAAATATTGTTTTCCACTTTGAGAACAAGCAGAAACTAATTATAAATTAAGATGAAAGAGGAGGAAAAACGGTATATCTAGGAATGTTATTCTTTTATAAATCCTTAAGTAACAAATTATCTTGGATGGGAACCAATTGGCTTCTACTCAGATTTTAGGTTATTTATGGTGGAATCATCACTTTTGAGAAAGAAAATAGCAGTATTTGGATGCAACCTTGCTGGTTCTGTATGTAATGTTTTGCCCACTGTTGATTCCACCAGCCTTAGGGGCTTTCTGGAACAGATGTTAGAGTTAAGAGTTGCATTGCCAAATCACCCTGTCTTATCTCCTATGCTACTTAATAAGTATATCGACCCAGTCAGATGAAGTCATTTTGGGTATTTGGAAGGTCTTGTCACCAATTCGCAGATACTTCATTGCTCTTATTCCTCTAACATCCCCGATGTTCAATTGATGCTGGGCTTGGGTTGTTTTTGAAAACAAATTTAGGTTTAATCCAGATTACTTGCAATCAGTCTACTGCAGTGGTGGGATTCAAATTTTTTTTACTACCAGTTCTGTGGGCTTGGAAGGATACTATAAAATCTCCAGTCAGAGGTGGTATTTGCCAGTTGTCCAAACTACTCAAAATTTCTGCTACCGGTTCTCCAGAACTGGTCAGAACCTGCTGAATACCAACTCTGCTGTACTGGTTGGCTCTAACCTCAGAGCAGATGGTGTGCATGGGTGTGTAAACTGAACCTTTTCTGAAGAGCTTTTCACTTCTCTAGAAATGTTAGGTAGATAATTTGGGCCTGGAACTATTATTGTTGTGGTTTGGCAAAAAAAAGTCTGAATTCAAGTTTGTCCCCTATATCTGAAGCCCTCTTAATGGAGTCCATAAAATCAAGGTTTTATTGAACCAAAAGATGGCTGCAGTTATGGGGCTCCAGAAATCTGTCAGATTAGCATGAATCCTAAAAAGCTGCAGGAATTTTAACTAAGAAACTGGGCTTTTACAATTTGCATAGACTCCGTAAGATATATGGATTTATATATTTTTTCTCAAACTACATCAAAATATGATGAAGTAAATATTTCTTAATGTAGAGAGGCAGATTAGTCTAGTGGTTAGGGCATTGGACTAAGAACAGAAAACCTAAGTTCAAGTCCTGCCTTATTTTGGATTAATCACTTTCTCAGCTCTAGGAAGAAGGCAACAACAAATCACTTCCAAAAATGTTGACTATCCATTAGTAGAGTCAACACTTATGTAAGACACACACAAAATATGCAGCTAATTGATTTCAGTAGATATAAATCAGTGGCTTTAAGACTTAGCTCATTGAGAATTTGGGCTAAGATTAATGTACCCAAAATGAAGACCATTACAACAAATTTGTATTTTAAGAGGGATTTAAATTTATTTCATATTAGATACTTTACACACTAAAATAAATTACTGAGATTTTTTATGACAAATCAGGATACCTTTAATTAAGCTTTTAATTAAAGGTATCCTGATTTCTCATTTAAAAAAAACCACAAGTACTTTGATTCTAACCAAATGTTAGAGTCATATTTTAGTGTTCTTATCCAGCTGGTCTTTCAGGTAATTTCTGGGGCCAATTTTGAGTCCTGAAAAGTTATGAAAGAAGTTTCAGGACTTGATGAGTTGTACCACTTGAGTCCTAGCACTATCAATGGAAACACTTTTGGAAGTTTTGGATCTCAGAGCATACGGAAGGAAGGCCAGCAAAGAAAGATCAATGCCTATATATTAACTAAATATTAGAAAGAGAGTGACCATAAACAATAAAGGTGTATTTTTTCCTCTTATGCTATTTCATTATATCCAGGACCGCAATGAAATTCTGGACAAGTATTTGCAGTGCTAAAGAAAATTGGCAGGAAATAAAGTCCAAAGACAGGAACTGAGTGAAAAGCTTTGGTTGGAAAATCTGTTCGGTGGTCTTCTTGGAATGTTTGAAGCTCAGTACTTAATTGCAGTTCAGCCACTTTAAAACAAAACACCCACATGTTTGCATCCTTTAATTTTATGGTTTTAGGTTTTATGGGTCACTGCTTTGGTGTTGGATACCAAAAGCTTCTTAAAGCTGATCCTGTGTGATTTGTTCCAAGCAGTTATGCTCTGCAGGAAGGGCAAGGCAACATATCTCTGGAATGAAAAGAGAAAAAGGAAAAGAAAAATAAGAAATTTGTTAAATGTTCACAGCACTAATGTGGGAGGGAAAGCATGACCACTAGAACTGTGATAATCTTGTAACACACACTTTATGAAACAGCCAAAACACTCCCAAATTACTGTCCAAATGTTGAAATAATGAATCATGTTTAAGAACCATGGTTTTGAAGGTCATACAGAATGAAACAAAATACCTTAACTTTGGACATATTGAAAGTATATTTTTTAACAATGGACCCAGAGGTTAATTTTAAGAGATCTGCCTCTGTAGATCGACTATTTTAAAATGTTATAGAAGAAGAACAAATTTTACTGGACAAGCCTGAAATTCATCTGAACTTGGATTTTGAAATGACAGGCTACAAGAATAACATGAAAAAAGATGATACACTGGATATACAAATAAAACTGACTAATATCTTAATAATTAAAATAGATATATAAATAATAAACTAAAAGAGTGCCCTTAATAACTTTCCTATGTTATATTTACAAAAGAAGCTTGTTAAAAGTGTTAGAGAATTTGTGAAAAGGGACAAAGAAAAAATGAAAACAAGTTCTAGGACATTGTTTGGAAGAATTAAAAGTTTGAAATTGTTAAAGATAAAAGGAAGGAATGTAAAGTTGGCTTATTTGATCAAGATTAAAATAGATACGTTATCTCTGCTGAATCCTTAATGGATTTTTGCTGACCAAGACTGAATGACAAGACTTTAGCGATTTGTTTATAGATAACAGATGGGATATGGGAATCATAACCTATCTCTTATCCATAGAAGGTGAAAAATTACTAAAATTGTATACACTTGTGATGAAGATAGGAAGTAACTTCTTTAAATACATCTTTTCCTTACTACATACCTATTTTTCCCATTTCTCTCTTTTTTCTTTTTTTAGTTTTTAATAGTTTTTAACTGTTTTAATTATAATCTTTAATAACATTACTATTAAAAAACAATTACAAAAGTGGATGGGAAATATGAGCCATCACATAGAACAGACCGAAGTAGGATGGATAATGGTTTTTCCTGTCATGATTCTTCTAGAGCTTAAACAACCTGCTTAACTTCATTCATTCATTCATTCATTCATTCATTCATTCATTCATTCAGCATGTCATGATGTTACATTAGCCAGGAGACTACAATGCTAATACAGAGTAGTAGTTTGGCTGCCTAAGACTGCTAGCCCTGTTCAGTTCATGCACGTGTGCTTTCCAAGGTGTGCCGCAGGAGACGACCTA